CACGCTTCTCGAGTTATATTATTTTCTAACACTTTTTTGCAGGTTTATTCGCTCAATTTCAACAACAATATATGGGGACATATACTTATTGGCATGCTATTTCGAAACTCACTTTGTGTTTTCTTGCACTCAACAGTCTAATACAGTCAATATAAAAATAAACCTGAATATTTAAAGGCTATGTTATCAAATAACAAAAAAAAACCTTTATTACTCAAAACTGAACATGAAATCATGAATTACAAAACTGAAATAACAAAATCTTTTATTTTGTTAGGGTAACTCATCACAGATTGTTAATTAGTTGCTCCTTACATGTTTTACATAAACGCTTCAAATATATGCCAACATAGCACTACTACACATGAATACACATTGATCTTTTCATACTATAAAAAACAGAGACAGATTGGTGCATCCAGACCAATTTCTAAATGCATATTTTGATTTTTTTGGGCAAAAACTGATGTATAATAATAAAAGGATTTGATTAATTACAAAGCATATATAAACTAGCCGCATAACACTACTTTTAGAACCAGACATCACTCATGCCCACATATTAAGTATCACACTTGTGAGAGATCATTTAGAATAAGAACTCCTCAAAAGAGTGAGAAATCAACAGGCAATTGACTTGGAAACGTTTAAAAGAACAAAAGTTTCTTAACATGCATCATCTTAAAAGTGAGAATGTAGGTGCAATGTTCATACTATCAATGTGAACCTTCTGTGCAACCATAGTGCCAGATTTTGGCCCAGTCCACCTAACCCGTGGGTTAAATGGCCCAGCCCGCGGTCCAATGGAAAATATACATGGAAAAATTCTTTAAAAATTAATATAATAGATTATATATTTATATTAGTAAATACTAATTAAGGAACTATAAAAAATCAAAATACTAAGCACTCAATATTTGTTAAGTTTAATTAAAGACTATTAAATACTACCTCCGTCTCAAAATACTTAGACAAATTCATAACTTTGATCAACTATATATATATATATTGGTAATTACTTATAATATAAAAATGACATGAAAATGTTCTTTGTGAAATGTACTTTCATTAAAATATAATTTTTTTTTTAACTTTCATCATGTTTTGGGGCGGGGGGTAGTACTAGTTTTACCCGAATTTGAAAACTATAAGAGGGAATCTATTAAAAGTACTAATTGCTAAAAATTACATTCCACTTCACATAATTTATCTAATTCAAATATTTTATAAAACTAATTAACTAAAGATCTACTTAAAAGTTTTGTATTATTAATTGTAAATCATGACAATTAATTGTTAAAAATTATATTCAACTTTACATAAAATACATGGATGAACGAATTATTTAAATAGTTATTATAGGAATAAAAATTACTACATACTTTGCAATGGTTGTAAAATGATAAGTTTATAATCTTAAATATAATAATTTTGATAGTAAAAGAACAATATTGAAGATAATGAAAGTCAAAACTATACGTTGTATTTTGGCTCGCGGGTCAACCCGCAACTCGTGCAGGCTGACCCACTTAACCCGCAACCCGAGGGGGTTGGCTTGCAAACCCCGTGAGTTATTTGAGTTAGAAAATGATAACCCTAACCCATCAATAAATGGGTTGAAATGGGTCAACCCGCGAGTTTCAGCCTATCTTGACGGCTATACTTGAATGTGTGCTGCCCAGCTGCTCAGTTAATGCTCGAGATTGTACCACGCAGTCATCTTCTTGTTTGGCTCAATCTCATCTTGACATCCTTGAGCAGCTCACCCATGTTCGCCAGGCGAAGATAGCTGCTCAGGCTCGATCCTTGCTCGCCCAGCTCTTGACTAGTCAACATAGATAATCGTCGGTTATGTTTGTTGTTTTTCTTTCCTATCTTTCCCTGGGATCTAAAGGGGGCTGAAAGACTGAAGTTAATTGGAAAGGCGGTGGCTATGTTGACAGATGGGAATCAGCACAGTGGATTCATCTGTATCAGGACTAGGGGGATGTCCATATGCCAAAGGTGCATCAGGAAATGTGGCGACTGAAGATGTTGTGTATATGCTCAATGGGATGGGAGTGAAAACATTTGTAGATATCTCAAAGCTTATGTTGGCCGGAGAATTCATCTGCAAGCATTTGGGCCGACCTTTAGGCTCTAAGGTGGCAATTGCCCTAACCAAACGATCCGCGTCTATTACTTCCAAACTTTGAGGTACTTTGTGGGAGGCACCCCCTAGTGTCTCATGTACTGGAAATATCATATCACACTCCTAGGGAATTAAGAGAAGAATATGCAATGCTTATAAGCTAGTTGACCTCCCTTCAGAATCTATATATGGAGATGTATTTCTGTTTGTGGACACACCAAATGTAATGGGTGGCAGTACAAAATCTTCTGTATTTACTGAACTGGAATTCCATATATCGGATCGGTCATGAGTGGTTGGCTGCCGGGAGCAGGGCCAACCCTAGAACTCCTGAAATACATCCTCAAGAATGGAGGCTCAATTCAAATTAGTCGATGTAATTCTCCTGAAATACATCGGAATCATGACAATTAATTGTTAAAATTTACATTAAATACATGGATGAACGATTTATTTAAATAGTTGTGATAGAAATAATAATTACTACGTACTTTGCAATGGTTGTAAAATGATAAGTTTATAATCCTAAATATAATAATTTTGGTAGTAAAAGAATAATATTGAAGATAATGAAAGTCAAAACTATACGTTGTATTTTGGCTCGCGGGTCAACCCGCAACTCGTGCAGGTCGACCCACTTAACCCGCAACCCGAGTGGGTTGGATTGCAAACCCCGTGAGTTATTCGAGTTAGAAAATGATAACCCTAACCCATCAATAAATGGGTTGAAACGGGTCAACCCGTGAGTTTCGGCCTATCTTGACGGCTATACTTGAATGTTTGCTGCCCAGCTGCTCAGTTAATGCTCGAGATTGTACCACGCAGTCATCTTCTTGTTTGGCTCAATCTCATCATGACATCCTTGACCAGCTCACCCATGTTCGCCAGGCGGAGATAGCTGCTCGGGCTCGATCCTTGCCCATCCAGCTCTTACCTAGTCAACATAGGTAACCGTCGATTATAGATCGCCGGTCGCACTTCGGCCTGGTTACAACGGCCAGACATTATTGCAGTCTGGTCATTGACGCCATTCGTTCTCTACGAAACTCCTCCCAGTAGTTGTTAGAGTTATGCCTCCCGATGCAAGCCCGATGAAACCTAGGATTGGCAGGTGGAGGTCGCCACATTGATAATTGTTGTTACTTTTCGGGTTCAATATAACTACAATAATGCTTGGTGTACACCTTGGATTACACTTATTTATTTGTCCTTCACACAGACAAAAAAGTACAAATACAAACGCTTATCTATAAAATTTCTTTCTGTGCATGTCTGTGTAGGTAAATCATGGCATACTTTTCCTTTTGCAGATTTGTCGAGGTGGTTGCACGGAAACCAATGTCAATGTACACAAACCCAAAATGTATGGATACATATACTTTTTGTCTCTATAGACAAATAATATCAAGGTTAAGTTGTCTATATTGACATACTTTTTTGCATAAATATGAGGACGGTTGCACGAGAACCATTGTCTGTGTACACGGATATTAGTTGTCTGAGTGTAACATTTTTGTTTGCATACAGAGACAACTTAACCCTAATATTAGTTGTCTGTAAAGGAAAAAGTGTCTGTACCCATACATTTTTTGTCTATGTAAATCGACATTGGTTTCCTGACAAATTTGCCAAAAAAAGTACGCCATGATTGACACACACACACAAATTTTGTTCACACAAACAAATTTTATCATTAAATGTCCGTATTTGTACTACTTTTGTCTGTGTGAAGGGAAAATAAATAGGTGTAACCGTGTAACACAGGGTGTACACTAAGCATCATTGATATAACTAATACTGCAGGTATTTATTATAGAAGATGAATTGAGTGTGTCAAAAATTCTAATTTATTTGAAGTTTTAAACCTCAACACCTGCTTATATATGTTACTTATGTTGGGAATTTGTGTGTAAAAAATTATATTTCATGGTTGTAGTTTTCAATCTTATCTAGCCTCACAAATCCAATTATTTAAGGTGATGATTTGGTCATACAATTTGAAAGAAACGAGTAAGTTATGCATCACAGAGAAGCTTAGTGATAAATGATGAAGCTTCTGAAGAAGCTTTGATGCAGTGGAGACAATGGATTGTAATTTGTTAGGAACTTTATCAATCCATGACCTGAAAGATAGAGAAATTATCAATTCAGTACATGAAAGATGAAATTTATCGGTATAAGACCCGAATGATGAAAAACTAATAAACTTTTGTGCAGAAAAATTGATCAAATAAAAGCAATGGAATTAATAAAAAATTAAACAAATCAAAACCTATGAAATGTTAGGTCCTATATTGATAGTTTTATATCATTCGGGTCCTATACCGATATATTTCATCTTTAAAAATTCGTATTTGTTAATAAAGATGAAGCTACGATGGACATAGCTGCATAGGTTGGGAGATGACGTGATAAACCGATGAAGCTCTTCGGAAATAGGGTTCTTAGTTGGGGGGGGGGGGGGGGGGGGGGTCAAAGGGTTTTTAACTTTTACCGGGTGATGAGAGGTCCGAATTCATTACGGGTTTAAATGGCTCACTGGGTAGACTTTCGGATTCCAGGTCGACTTGCTAGGTCCGTTTTTTTTAACGCCACTTATTTAGTCCTATTTTTTGGAAAATCAAAAAATGATTTGATTTTTGTGCATGAATTATTTTTAGTAATATTAAATCTTGTAAAAACCCCTAAAGTTAATGAAATGCAGAAAAAAAGAAAAGAAAATAGAAAACCTTCTTTTTTGAGAAAAAAGAAGATAAATGTACAAGTTAAGTTTAGAGTGTAGACAAAAGAGAACATTTTTAAAGAATATTAGAAGAAGTTGAAGTCCATTACTACCAGCGGGCTTAAAGTACTGGGCCGGAACTCTCTAGGCCTTTATTTAGACGGGTAAAGGTAAGGAAGGATCGTCTCTTCCTAATTTGCATGCTCGCTTAGTCGCTTTAGTCTTTTTACAGATTCAGTACCTCTCCTGAACCCACACCGGTAGCAGCAGAAGCTACTACAAACTACATATACGGAGGACTCTGAGAGTTTGTTGTCCCTTCGGGGACATCCGATAAAATTGGAACGATACAGAGAAGATTAGCATGGCCCCTGCGCAAGGATGACACGCACAAATCGAGAAATGGTCCAAATTTTTTTTGTCCCTTTAACTTTTTGATCGCTGCTCGGCTTCTGCTGCGTGTTTGAAGCTGTACAATGTTTTCTTCTTGCTGATTCTACTTCGAAATCGGCTCTGTGAGTAACGGAATTAGTTTTTTTAATGTAAAGAATGACTGAAGTAGGGTTTATCCTCAAATGGCTGCTAATTCTTCTGCGTGTTTGATGTAAAGAATGACTGAATTAGGGTTTATCCTCAAATGGCTGCTAATTCTTCTGCATAAACATTACAATGCTATGTTGTTGAAATATATTGCTCATTCTCTTTAAATATATGCGAACTAAGGAATCTCAGATTGATTATAACATCACACACTCTACAAACCAATAGTTTTATGTTGCAAGGCAGTGAGAAGCTGGTTTATGTGGATAAACTTGTCAAGGGCATTAGTTTGGACTTTGAAGTCATCTCTTATTTGTTTCAAGTCAGTTGGAATCTTATTTATGCATTCTTATTTTATAAATAACAGGGGCAAGTCTTACAATCCCAGCTGAAATTGTTGTTAGCTAGTTCTATTGATACATCAATAAGTGTTAGCAGGTCTTCTCCTTTTCAAATAAATGAGCACTTTTTCTTTCAATGTGTATTTACTGATGAATTTAGCTAGCTAGAAATGATGACCATACCTTTGTAGGCTCAATGAAGGAATTCTCACCCGGTACATTACTACAGGTTAACAAAGTTTTCATTGACCCCAACGACTGTTCGGAGTTCTGCTCAAATTCTTATACAGTTGGGCTTTATGCTCAAATCATTGCTGATTCTTTTGGATATTCATTATTTTGTTATTGTTATGCTGCTGCACTGATAATCTGTGGCCATTTTTGGCAGATAAACATCAGGAGCAAAATTGTATCCTTAATGTGTTTGCTTCCACACATTTAAGTGTGATCCAATGTTAGCACACCAGACTGCTAGAAAGGTTTCCAGGTGGAGAAGATCTTGTGCCTACCGTGTGCTTGATTATTACACTGTGCCTGAAATGGAACTCCAGAGTACCAAGGGTGAACCACAGAAAGAAACATTTTCATTTAAGCCACATGAAGTAAGGACACTCGTTATATTGATTTTAACATCATATATTCTATTGCCTTTGATTTTTTTATTGAAACTCACAAGAAGCTTGCTTGTATATATGCATAATCCTATCGTGGGCATTAACGTTTCATCTCTTATTTCTTGGAAGTCATTTACAAGCAATTTTATGCAATCTTATTTTATAAGCCAGTCTTGGATTGACAGTTAAGTCGATGTAATGAATCAGCTAGTTCTTTTGGTGGATCATGTACTGTTTATCGGTCCTTTTTGCTTTTCAAATAAAGGAGTACTTATCATTTGATGAAACATTTTTTTGTCTTTTGTTTTGGACTTTGTACATGGAAGCAAAACAAAGTATATCTTAACAGGAAGGAGGGCAAGGCAGGATCATATATATGGCAAAGACAAACAAACAGATATTCACTAAATCCTGTCTTCAACCAAAAACCTGATGTGCCTGGAGCAGCGCATGATTCTTTTCATAAGTTACGCCACTGTTATGGCACCCAATCATATCCCAGCAATGGCCTAAACAAGGTACTTTCATTCTTTCAACTCACTAAAACATGTAATCTTTAGGTTTCAGGTCGCATTTATTTTTTTCCCATTTCCACTTATAATTAGTTTTGAATTAATTAGGTATTGGGATGTATGCCTGGGATTGTGAGAATAGTAGAGGTGGGTCCAAGAGATGGCTTGCAAAATGAGAAAAATATCATACCTACAAGTGTGAAGGTTGAACTAATAAAAATGCTTGTTTCTGCTGGGCTGTCGGTTGTGGAAGCTACAAGTTTTGTGTCGCCAAAGTGGGTACCGCAGGTATAGAATTTCCTTACTCTCTTTTTGTTTATTTGTTAACTTTTTGCTACGATAACAGATTAGATGAGTACATGAAGGAGTACTTGTATAGTTGTATGTGATTATTTGTTAGCATTTCATTGGAGTGTGATTAAGTCTATTGTTCGATAAAGTAGCTACCCCATATTTTTAAATAACCACTATTGTTATGTACGGTCAAGGATTTCCTAAATTTGTGTTAGTGAGGATAATGGTGCATTTTGCTTCCTTGAATTAGTTGTGTTTGTAAGGAGTTTGGTGCATTTTGCTTCCTTTAATTTGAAAACTTTTGTTAATCTACAGCTTGCTGATGCAAGGGAAGTAATTCAAGAAATTCAAAGTATTGAAGGAGTGCGATTTCCAGTATTAACACCAAATATGAAAGTGAGTTTCTCATATGGAGGGGCTATGCTAGGAATAAGGCTTATCATCATAATCATAGTTACTATTACTGCTATGACTACTAGTCTACTACTAACACAACCACTACTCATCATCGTCATCGTTATCATCACCTCCATCACAACTTGTTGGGGGCTCTGACATTAAACTTCTAGTGTAATTAAGACTATGAATTCATGTATTAAGCATTGGCAATGCTACGTGGGATGCCATTCCCATATCAAGTTCATAAGAAGGGATACTACACTGCCACCACTACTAATACTAATATTATTTTCACGATATAGGGTGGTGATAATAAATACCCCCTCCGTCCCATAAAATAGTTCCCACTAGGATTTTGATTGGAGTTTAAGAAAGTGGGAATATGTATGGTTGTGGATGAGTAAGAAATAGGTAAATGAATGGTAGCCACACAAAACTTTCCAAAAAGGGAAATGGGAACTATTTTTTGGGACGGCCCAAAAAGGAAAGCGAGAACTATTTTGCGGGACGAAGGGAGTTATATTTTTATTACTGCTATTACTGCTACTAGTACAACTACTGGAGCTATTATTATTATTATTTGATAATCTGGTGTTTCAGCAGTGTTAACATTACATGTCAAATATTGAACTTTGGTGTACTAATTTATAAATGTGTCGTTGTTGAGGGTTTCGAGGCTGCTGTTTCAAGTGGGGCCCAAGAAGTTGCAGTATTTGCTGCTGCCTCTGAGTTATTTTCTCGGTCAAATATAAATTGTAGCATTGAAGAGAGTCTCACCAAATATCGTGATATTGCTCGCGCAGCCAAAAACCATTCCATTCCAGTTTTTGGGTATGCCTTCTCATATGTTTACAAATTCTTGTTTTAAAGTTGTATCATCTTTGAACTTTCTTCGTTCTACAGGTATTGATTTATTAATTTTTAAACTGTAGATGGGCACACAATTTTCTTTATGTTTTGGTTAAACGTGTATATATACTTCTTTTACCATATATGTATCATGTGTTGTGGGCTGTCCAGTGGAAGGATCAGTATCTCCTTCCAAAGTTGCCTATGTTGCTAAACAACTTCAAGATATGGGTTGCTTTGAAATATCCCTTGGTGATACAATTGGGGTTGGCACTCCAGGTAGTGATAGACTGGTCTTTCACCATGCCATTTTTAAAAGAAGAAAATAGGCGGAATTAATTTTCTTCTCATTTACCGAACTTAAATAGGTACAGAGAGAATCCTGGAAATCCTGGGAATTAATTGATTCCCTAGAATAAAAGGATCTACAATATCAAAAAGATAATCTACCTTAAATACAATTCTAATCAAGGCAAGAGATAATTCTACAATTCTACAATTAATTACAATTACTATGCGCCTAAAATAGATGATTCTGTCCAATAACCTAAAATAGATTATTCTGTCCAACACTCCCCCTCAAGCTGGGGCAAAAATGTCAATCATGCCCAGCTTGACTAGAAAATCTTCAAATGTTTGTTGGTATAGCCCTTTGGTCAGAATGTCTGCGAGTTGCTCTGATGTGGGAACGTAAGGTATACAAATTTCTCCTCCTTCTAGCTTTTCTTTGATGAAGAAACGATCAACTTCCACATGTTTGGTCCTGTCATGTTGGACAGGATTGTGAGCAATACTGATGGCTGACATATTGTCACAAAACAACTTCATTGGCATTTCTGTCTTCACCTTCAGTTCATTGAGAATGCTTCTTAGCCAAATAGCTTCACAGATTCCGTGTGCCATTGCTCTATACTCGGCTTCTGCACTACTTCTTGACACCACATGTTGTTTTTTACTTCTCCAGGTTACTAAATTTCCCCAAACGAATGAACAATAGGCTGATGTAGATCTCCTATCGTTCGCAGCTCCTGCATAATCTGCGTCTGTGAAGACCTCAATTTTCCTACTGTGATTTTTTTTGAATAGAATACCCTTGCCGGGACTTCCCTTGAGATAGTGTAGGATTCTGTAGACAGCTTTCAGATGTTCTTCAGCCGGATTATGCATAAATTGACTGACTAAACTCACTGCAAAGGCTATATCAGGTCGTGTGTGAGCTAGATAGATGAGTTTTCCCACTAACTTTTGATACCGAGCCTTATCAACAGCAGCTCCGCCCTCGGACCTTCCTAACTTATGGTTAGGGTCAATAGGAGTGGAAGCAGGTTTACATCCAAGAAGACCTGTTTCCTTGAGTAAATCGAGCACATACTTTCGTTGAGACAGAGCAATTCCCTTCTTTGATCTAGCTACTTCCATCCCGAGAAAGAACTTGAGGTTTCCCAAATCTTTAATTTCAAATTGCCTAGCTAGAAATAGCTTCAGTTTCTCCAGTCCTTCTTCATCATCTCCTGTCATTATAATATCATCTACATACACAATTAAGATAGCAATTTTCCTTTCGACCGTGTGTTTGTAGAACAATGTATGATCAGCGTGAGCTTGACGAAATCCTTTTTCCTTTACAGCCCTTGTAAACCTTTCGAACCAAGTGCGAGGTGACTGTTTCAAGCCGTATAAAGATTTCTTCAGTCGACATACCTTTCCTGCCACACTTTCATCATCAAACCCCGGAGGTACTTGCATAAAAACTTCTTCTTCTAACTCTCCATTAAGGAAGGCATTCTTCACATCAAACTGTAGAAGAGGCCAGTCGAGGTTAACAGCAAGTGACAACAACACTCTTACTGTGTTGAGTTTAGCAACCGGGGCAAATGTCTCCTCATAGTCTAGACCGTAGGTTTGAGTGAATCCTCTAGCTACGAGTCTAGCTTTGTACCTCTCTATTGATCCATCCGAATTATACTTGATCGTGAACACCCATTTGCTGCCTACAAGATGCTTTCCTTTTGGCAGATTTGTTAACTCCCACGTTTCATTTTTTTTAAAGCTCGCATTTCTTCTAGGACAGCTTCTCTCCACTTTGGAATGCTTAGTGCTTCTTGTATCGTCCTCGGAATTTCATCATCGGTTATGCTAGTGGTAAAGGCCCTAAAGGTAGGAGATAATTGGTGATATGACACATAACAGTTTATAGGATGTTTGGTGCACTCACGAACTCCTTTCCTAAGTGCTATAGGTTCATTAAGGCTCGGATCAAGAGGTGAATTATGGTCATGGGAATCAGTCTCAGTCTCAAGAGAAGGATCAAGGAAATGTGGAAAAAAAGTTGTGGGAATGATGTTACCTGGAACAATACTTTGGTCAGACGGTAGGTCGGCTTGAGTTGGTACTGAATCAGTACCTTGCTTCTTTTTTCTTCTCGAGTAAACACGTAGTTCAGATGTGGGATCCACATTATTTATTATTTCAGATCCTTTGTGAGGTGTAGAAATAATAGGTATGACAGGTTCAACATCAGCTGCCCTACTTTGATTATCATAATTTGTAAGAGGAATCGGTAACACAATATTTTCCCAAAATTGGTCTCCTATTTCTTTCTCCCCCTGAAGAGAAGTTTGATCAAAAAATGGTTTGTTTTCAAAAAATGTGACATCCATACTAACTAATATCTTTCCCGAGCTTGGGTCATAACATTTATATCCTTTTTTAGTTGGTGAAACACCTAAAAAAATACACTTTATTGCCCTTGGATCAAGTTTATTTCTGTTAAGATCATGAATGTGGACAAAACTAGTGCAGCCAAATACTTTAGGTGATAAACCAGTGAAAGTCCTGTTAAGAGGATATGATAATTGTAAAGTTTTCAAAGGGGTTTGATAGTTTAGCACTTTGCTGGGCATCCTATTAATTAGGTATGCAGCATGAAGTATAGCTTCTCCCCAAAAACGTTTTGGAACATTCATAGAAAACATAAGAGCTCGGGCAACCTCTAGTAGATGTCTATTTTTTCTTTCGGCAACTCCATTTTGTTGAGGTGTAATAACACAAGAACTATGATGGAGAATGCCTTGGGCTGCGAGAAACGAACCAAGAGTGCAATTAAAAAATTCTCTACCATTATCTGTTCTAAGGACTTGTATTTGAGCTCCAAATTGTGTTTTAATCATAGAGTTAAAACTTTTGAATGTTTCTGCAACCTCTGATTTTTCTTTAAGAAGATAAATCCAAGTGTTTCTAGTGTGATCATCAATAAAGGTTATGAACCATCTAGTGCCAGAAAGATTTTTAATCCTAGATGGTCCCCATATGTCACTATGAATAAGAGAGAAAGGTTTAGATGACATGTAAGGCAAAGAAGGATAAACAAAACGTTTATGTTTAGCAATTTGACAAATCTCACATTGAAATGAATTAACATCCTTATTTTTAAATAAAATAGGAAACACATGGCGTAAATAACCAAAGCTAGGATGGCCTAGTCGATAGTGCCATAACATTATTTCATTCTCTAAGGATAAAAAACTAGAAGAACATGGTTTCTGAACTTGTTTACTCGAGAGGATGTCAGTAGCAAGATAGTAGAGTCCACCACTTTCTCTTGCACTACCAATCGTCTTCCCAGAGCGTTGGTCCTGAAACACACAACCATTTGACACAAATTTTACAACACAATCAGAATCGTGAGCAAGTTTACTGACTGACACAAGGTTGCATAATAAGTTGGGCACATGTAGGACATTGTTTAAGGTAATAAACGGAGATATAATGATAGAACATTTTCCAGCAATTGCGGATAGGGAACCATCTGCGATTTTTACCTTTTGATTACCCGAACAAGGAAAGTAATTAGAAAACATGTAGGAAGACCCAGTCATGTGATCAGTAGCCCCTGAATCAATGATCCAAGGGTTGGATTTTTCTAAACTTACACTAAGGGCGGCTGCTAAGATACCTTTTTGCGCCAGAGATGATGAAGGATGGGCTGAGATATTTGAGGTTGGGGTATTTGAAACTGATGTATATGGAGTATTGATGTTGGTATTAGCAGACCGATGAGTATTCCAGGACTGAAACAATTGTTCTAGGCTATCCTTGGTGAAGGAGAAGGTGTCGCTTGATGTGTTTTCTTGATCTCCAGATGCAGCGAGGAAGCCTCCTTTGGTATTGCGTGAGACTCGGTTGGAAGGGGTGAACTCAGCTGGCTTGCCGTGAATCTTCCAGCACTTTGCTTTGATGTGCCCGATTTTGTGACAAAAATCACACACTGGCCGTTCTTGATTCTTATTAGACTGCTGCAAAGGATGTGGGGACTTGAAATTTGGTTTTGAGATCATCAGTGCAGATGTTTCAATGGGTAAAGAGGTGGATTCATCTCTGAGCATCACATGTCGACGACTCTCTTCGCGACGAACCTCAGCAAACACCTCTTGTGCACTTGGCAGTGGGTCTCGGCCAAGGAGTCTCCCTCAAACTTCATCAAGTTCTTTGTTCAGACCAGCAAGGATGTCGAAAACTCTTTCTTTTTCAACAATTTTCCGATAGAGGGCAGCATCCTTCGGACAGTGCCATTTATAATCACAAAACAGATCATACTCTTGCCAAAGAGTCATGATATCATTGTAGTACTGAGTTACACTCTTCTCCCCTTGTTTCGCCTTTCCCAATTGTGTCTTGATCTCAAATAATTGCCCAACATTCCTCAAATCTGAGTAGGTTTCCTTTAGGGCATCCCAGATGGCATTCGCGGATGGCAGAAACAAATAGGTTCTGCCAATTTCTGGTTCCATCGAGTTCACCAACCGTGACATAATCATGGAATTCTCGGCCTCCCATCGTTCATATCCATCATCTTTGGGGTCTGGCTGAACTGTTGTTCCTGAGAGGTAGCCAAATTTGCCTTTTCCTTGGACGAAAAGCTTGACTGACTGTGACCACGGGAGGAAATTACTTCCATTTAGTTTGATGGAGGTAATCGCCAGATTCTGCATAGAATCAAAAGCGATACAGGGTTTGGTTCGGGCGGAGTCACCAGTTGAGCTGGTGCTGATATCGCTCGAGTTCAGGCCTGCCATGGAAGTTGGCGATACGGCTCTGATACCATAAAAGAAGAAAATAGGCGGAATTAATTTTCTTCTCATTTACCGAACTTAAATAGGTACAGAGAGAATCCTGGAAATCCTGGGAATTAATTGATTCCCTAGAATAAAAGGATCTACAATATCAAAAAGATAATCTACCTTAAATACAATTCTAATCAAGGCAAGAGATAATTCTACAATTCTACAATTAATTACAATTACTATGCGCCTAAAATAGATGATTCTGTCCAATAACCTAAAATAGATTATTCTGTCCAACAATTTTCATTGTCAGCTGTTCTTTTTTGGCAACTGGAATTGGCAAACGTACAAAACTAATAACGAATTTTGTCAATTCTAGCACTTGATCCTCCAGTAGAGTCACTAAATATCATTGTAACGGTTCTAATGCTTCTGAATGTGCTAAGTGGTTTCACAGTGGGATAAGAATTGATTATGTTGACCGCCTATCATTTCCATTTTGATTAGAGTTCGTTCATAACCAAAGAAAAAAGGCATTGATAGTTCTTTTTACAACTTTTGACCTGCAACTGCTTTACTCAGGTACGGTCATTCCAATGCTAGATGCTGTCTGTGAAGTTGTTCCTGTGGAGAAGCTTGCTGTCCATTTTCATGATACATATGACCAAGCCCTGCCTAACATTCTTGTGTCCTTACAGGTAAGTGGTTATTTGTGGAATACCAATCTGTGTGAAGTAATAAATGGTTGGAACCATGCACTCATTGGGGGGAACTACCGACGGTTGTTATATATTAGCTTATGAACAAAGGATGGTCTGAAATTCACAGTTTAGTAATCTGAAATGAGGATTTTATCCTTGATCTGGCCACAGTGAATATTTTATTTATGGAAACAAATAAACCTATGCTTTTTATTAGTTTTTCCGACATGAAAGGTAACTGAGAAGTCTGCGATAAGGAATATGAAGTTGGGTTGGCATTATTGGTTAGATATAGATGTTCAATTTTCCAAACACATTAACATACCAGATTGGAAGCCTAGTTTTATGTCCAGACCTCAAATTTCATCATGGATTTTGTTGAATGTCCCAGTTCTTAAGGGTATGTTCGGATCTCCTAGAAAGCAAGGGATCGAAAAAATAGCATTGAAAATGATTTATTATGTTTGGTTTTACAGTAGAAAATGAAAAGGACCTTGAAATATTCTTAGTTTTTTTCTGTTTTAAAAATCTCATATGCTTAGATTTCTTAAATAATAGACATCAATAGATAAAGGGAGGATTGGAGATTGCATCCCAACATTTGATTCAAATTTGAGTTTGCACCCTAAACCTTAAAGTTTACACCCTTCTCTTAGCAGTTTGCACTATATATTGGAGTTCACATCCCATTTTTAGCAGTTTCTTTGAACTTAACACAAATATCAATGATTTTGAAAAAGGGGTACGAAATCAAATTTGCGTGAAAAAATGGGGTGCACAGTCCAACTTCCCCACAAGTGAAACAAGTTTCTGCCAAATTTATACTTTTTAGTTTCAGACTATCTTTTATTGTCTTCCTATATGCTGTTTCCTTCCAATTTTCTTCTATGTTTGTTGTTTTTCTTTCCTATCTTTCCCTGGGATCTAAAGGGGGCTGAAAGACTGAAGTTAATTGGAAAGGTGGTGGCTATGTTGACAGATGGGAATCAGCACAGTGGATTCATCTGTATCAGGACTAGGGGGGTGTCCATATGCCTGATAAGGATGTACAGTAATACAGAAGATTATAGAAGAAGATTCAAGAAAACTAACTGCAAATTTTATTAGAGGAGAAGAACAGTAATCTTAACAAATGGCCGAAGCCCCCAGTTGAGCCGAAGCCCCCCAAAAGAAAGAGAATATCTCTCGATCTTCCCAAGTCCCAGAATGATAAAGTCTAAACAGCCTACTAAATCTCCCCTGCTATCTTCTATTTATACTAAACTCATACACTTTATTCTTATTAATACTCTAATAGGCCCGGTCCTTTATTCTTAGTATCTTTAGGCCCGGTCCCTAACAATACTCCCCCCCTTAAACATCCACCTTGCCCTCAAGGTGGATGATAGGACTCCGCCACCAATTTCTTCTTTTCTTTCATCCTAGCACCCCTCCCTCTCCAATACAGATTTGTCTTCTGGATCTTTTGCTTTACTACTTCCATCTTCCACTCTATGTAATTCATAGCATAGTTCCACAAAGGCCAGAAAATTTGATCCAAAACTTTGATTCCTGCAGATTTTTGGAAGACCCAGGTGCGGCCTGCTGCAATATAGGGGACAACTACTTCATGCTTTTGAACAGTATGAACACTTCTTCCTTCAACATCCTGTTCACTTGATGATTCATCTCCTTGTAAAATCACCTTCTGCCCTTGTACTTCCCATTTGAAGGTCTGACTTTGGAAGTTAATCTCCGTGTCTCCCAATCTTGTTAGCCAGTCCATTCCCAAGACTAAATCCGTGCTCCCCAGCTCCAATAAGTAATAAGTTTGGTGAATACTAATTCCTTGCTCATTCAGATCTACATCTGCACACCTGCCACAGATTTGAATACATTCTCCATTTCCTAACTGCACCCTATTTCCCTGAAAAGGAGTATAAGGAATCCTCCACTTTTCCACCAAGCTTAGTGACATAAAATTGTGTGTAGCACCTCCATCAATGAGTACCTTTACTGTGTTTTCACCTTCATGCAATCTCAGTTTACCTGTCACCTTAAATGTTTTCACAGGGGTTATGTCTATCTCATCACTCCCAGAAAACTGCATGGTCTTCAATTCTAGAGGAGTGGTCTTATCCCTGCCAGATTCCAGTAATTCCACTTCAGAATCAGCTTCACCATCTGAATTCTCCACTAGGATCATTTTATAGTTCCTCATCTTGCAAACATGTCCTCTTCCCCAATTTTCACCACATTTAAAACAGAGTCCTTTCTTGCTTCTGTTTAATAGTTCTTCTTGGGATAGTCTGGGACTTGCCTCATTAGATACGCAGCTTGGACCTTCTTTCTTGCTTTCATCTCCCCATTTCTGGCCTGAAGATTGGATGATAGGAGTAGTCTGCCATTTCCTCCTTCCTCCATCCTTATTTTTCACAAAGAAAGTTTCAGAATTCTTGTTCTCAATCGCGGATGCAGTATCCATAACTTCTGCCAACGTCCTAGTTCGATGTAACTTCAATTCTGCTCTTATATCTCTTTTCAACCCCTTAAGAAAGGCTCCTCTCAAGACTTCTTCAGTTAAGTGGCCTTGTGAAGCGATAGCCTTTTCAAATTTATTTCGGTATTCCTGAATTGTCCCCTTCTGCTTCAGGCTAAACAGAGGCCCTAGTGGATCCTGTACCATATCAGGTTGAAATCGCTTGGTCAAAGCTTGAGTAAAAGAGTCCCAGTTTTGATGTGTAGCCTGTCTCTCCCACCATTGAAACCAGCTGAGAGCTTGGTCCTCCATGGCCACTACAGTGACATCAATTTTCTGTTCCTCTTCAGTTTGATTCAAGCGAAAATATCGGTTCATTCTAACCAACCATCCAGAAGCATCTTCTCCATTAAAATTAGGTAAATCAATCTTTCTACCTGTATGATGAGGATGACGTTCCCTGTGATGATGGCGGTGTTGATGTCGACGTGGAGGAGAATAGTCGGAATTGTTTTCCGATCCCTCTGAACTTGCCAATTGTCGCGAACGATGATGGTGAGGTGATCGATTATGGTGAGAAGTGTGATGCGATGTAGATGTGTGATGCGAGGCAGATGATCGATGCGACGCAGATGATCGATGCGACCTACTTCTTGATCGATCCGTTTTTTGATTTTTCAACTCGGCAAATCCAGCTTGCATCATCGCCAGCAATTCTTCGTACTTCGTATCGATCTTCGCACCTAATTCCCGTTGACCTTGCTCGACGTTCCGTTCCATTTCTGCCATCCTGCCTTCCATTTTCTTCCTCGTGCCAACCATTCACAACTACAACCAGGCTCTGATACCAATGATAAGGATGTACAGTAATACAGAAGATTATAGAAGAAGATTCAAGAAAACTAACTGCAAATTTTATTAGAGGAGAAGAACAGTAATCGTAACAAATGGCCGAAGCCCCCAGTTGAGCCGAAGCCCCCCAAAAGAAAGAGAATATCTCTCGATCTTCCCAAGTCCCAGAATGATAAAGTCTAAACAGCCTACTAAATCTCCCCTGCTATCTTCTATTTATACTAAACTCATACACTTTATTCTTATTAATACTCTAATAGGCCCGGTCCTTTATTCTTAGTATCTTTAGGCCCGGTCCCTAACAATGCCAAAGGTGCATCAGGAAATGTGGCGACTGAAGATGTTGTGTATATGCTCAATGGGATGGGAGTGAAAACATTTGTAGATATCTCAAAGCTTATGCTGGCCGGAGAATTCATCTGCAAGCATTTGGGCCGACCTTTAGGCTCTAAGGTGGCAATTGCCCTAACCAAACGATCCCCGTCTATTACTTCCAAACTTTGAGGTACTTTGTGGGAGGCACCCCCTAGCATGTCTCATGTACTGGAAATATCATATCACACTCCTAGGGAATTAAGAGAAGAATATGCAATGCTTATAAGCTAGTTGACCTCCCTTCAGAATTTATATATGGAGATATATTTCTGTTTGTGGACACACCAAATGTAATGGGTGGCAGTACAAAATCTTCTGTATTTACTGAACTGGAATCCCATATATCGGATCAGTCATGAGTGGTTGGCTGCCGGGAGCAGGGCCAGCCCTAGAACTCCTGAAATACATCCTCAAGAGTGGAGGCTCAATTCAAATTAGTGATAAAACCTGCTAAAATAAATATTTGGATTTTTATTTTGCAATTGGATCGTCAATATCTATCACAATCCGCTAATGTAATTGTTGGGATGTTTTTAATTGGATTCATTTTGATCCTAAACAGGTTAGACAAGATCAAATCAGACCGAATTTAAATAAATTATATATAAACAAGCAAACAACCAGGGGTGGACTTGTTACTGGGAAAAATATAGGTCGACAATTCATTTCTTATTCTTCAGCAGTATGCAGTAATGTTTGATGTAATCGTATATTTGGTCGTATAGTGTTTTATTATTTATTTATTCACTTCTTAAACATTTGAATAGTTAATTAATATTCAATGATAATTGTGATTATAATTTTTTTAGCCCTAATGATAAAATGTATGTTATCAAATACATCAATGTCTTCATAACTTTGTTTACACGTTAATATTGGATATTGAGATTTAGGTCAGGGGATGTTTTTGTCATTGCTAGCGATTGCAGAATTGCAGAGGAAGGAGAAGGATGAATGTTTGGCAGAATTGCAGATTTCAGTATTCCACCCTTGCACTAGATCAAGCTTGTAAGTTTATCTACTTTATGCCTTATGCCCTTATGATTCTGCTTAGGTTGTTGAGAAAAATCTTTACAATATCTTGCAATATGCAGCCTCCACATTGAAATTGGAAATTATTTAGACGCAAATACACTTTTTAGTCACATGTATCAATCATATAATCTCAATCAATCACTACCTTATGTTTTGTTTGATTTATTGATTGTTTGTTGCTAGTAATTTGATGTGCGCTATGTGATGTTGTGCAGGTTTCGAGAAGTGAAGTCTACTAATGTTAAAGCAGTTTGAGTACACAAAGATTAAACATGTAGTCGCATTACTATTACTTGCTTCCCTTTTCAATTCACTTGTAAATGTACCAAAAAAAAGTTTATTTATATCTTTTTTTAACATTGTTATTCTTTCAAAAAAAACATTGATATATTATAATTGAAATTCTGGTATTAATTTAAATATTTATTCATTGGATACCATAATATGTTACTTTTATTTTTATGTTTGTTGTTTTTTGTTTCTATCATGTTGTTTTTTGTTTAATATTTGAACTTTTAGTTTTTATTTTTGTTTTTTCATGTTTACGTACATTTCAATTTTTAGTTTTGTTTTTGTTTTTTTTGTCTACCATAAATCTGTATAAAAATGTGTGTTTGTGTGTGCCACAAACACTTTGAATAATAAATTTTATTTATGAAAATCAATAACAATAAGAAACAAGATTAAACAATCAGAAACAAAAAAAATTAAGTAATCAACAACAATAAACACAAAGAAACAATATGCAACAAAAACTAACAATGAAATTATAATAACAATAATTGAATTCCGTAGCTATTTAAAAGAAAATATTAAATTACAGATTATACATATTTAATTTTTTCCTTTTTTACTTAGTTTTAGCATTTTTATTATTTTAAACGGTTTTTAGTATATATTTTCCCCTCATTTTATAAAATTTTAGTATATATCTTATTTTCTATTTCTTTTTATTGGTAAAGTATAATTTGAACTCTTTGGTTGTTTTCAAATTTTATATATTTATTTGAATTTCTTGGATTCTTTCTTATATTGTATATATTGTGATGTTAAAAAATTACTCTCACAAAAATTTCTAACTACTTTTGATATTTTGTAATTATTAAATTTTATATTAAGTTTTTTCTTTACAATTTTCCACCATTTTTGACTATTTTGAATACATTCATTTTTATTTTCAAGTATTTGTATTTTAAATTTACTGTACGCTTGTTTTACATTTACCCGAAATTATTTTTAGAGTTTCTAAAATCAAATTTCAAGTTTTCAACTTTTGTTATGCTTGTTTAATTTTTTTAAACAAATATTTACTTTTTAGACTTTCATTATTTTTTCAATTATTATGATCTTTGAGTCTTTAGTGAATTTTACATTTTTTCTAGTTAAAAACAAATGTTGAGTGACCGGTGAAATGTAAATTCGGCGCATTAGCTTTTTTGTATAATTTAGAAATTTTGACAAAGTTATTTGCATATTCAACCATATTATTAAAAAAAGTGATTTCAAAATTGTAAAATTTGTTCTTGAAGGGGATTTTGCGCATGATTAATTAAAACAAATGGGGTTTGACGCATTTTTTAAATCATAAGGATCTAATGCACCGAATTTATATTTCACGAGAAGGTTTGATGCATTTAACCCCTAAGACTTAAGAGATAGCAACTCATTAGTCATGAGTGTACTTGCATTAGCAAAAAATAGTACGGACTAGAAGAGAATCAAGCAAGTTGCCTGCATGTTAATTTGTGCAAAAAAGTGACTAGTCTATTTTTGAAAGAAATTTTCAAAAGTTAAAAAAATGATATTAATTTCACTTTTTAATCTATTTATGAAAAAATCCTAAACTTTTTTTTGGAAGATGAGAGAAGTGAAAAGGCCATTATTACAGCAGGCCGAATGTACTGGGCTGGAATTCTCTAGGCCACTAAACGGCTAAAAGTAAAAAGGATGGTCTCTTCCTTTTTTACCTTTACATATTCAGTACCGCCTTCTTATCCCACACCGGCAAGCATAAACACTGCGTTAAGCTATGAAGACTGAAGACTTCCAAAGAGACGATGACATGCACAAACTAAGAAATGATTCAATTTTTCTCTTTTTCAACTTTTTTTATTTTTTCCAGCTTTGATTCATTCTCCAGGTAGGTGCCGTGTACTGAACTACTGATACGTTGTTTTGATCTTCGGAATGTTTCGTAGTGATAAACTTTGTTTTTTAGTAGCCACAGCTTCTTTTAAGCTTTACCGTTTCTTATGTGTTTCGTCTTTTGAATCTTAGTGGATTTTTGGACCATAAATTTGAGTAAAATTTTGATGTTTCTGCTTCAAATAATTGCTAATTCTTCTGGATAACCATTAATATGCTATGATGTTGGAATATATTCCTAATTCTCTATAAACGGTGTGTGAAGTAACGAAACTCAGACTGGTTATAACATCACATACTCTAAACCTTTAAATTTTATGTTGCGTAGTCAGTGAGAAGATGGTTTATGTGCATAATCGTGCAAGGGCATTAGTTTGAAGTCATCTTTTATTTGTTTCAAATATATTAGAAGCTTGTTTATGCAGTCTTATTTTATAACAGGGGCAAGTCATAGAATTCTCTTGAAATTGTTGTTTAGCTGGTTCAGTTGAAATTTATCAGCTGAAGTTGTTGTTTAGCTGGTTCAGTTGATGGATCATTTAGTGTTAGCAGGTCTTCACCTTTTCAAATAAATTAACAGTTTTTTTTATAAATGTTTGTGTGTTTGATTTCCCACTATCTGTAAGCAAGCTTGTGCAGAGAGCAATATACAATGTTTTTTTAGACCAAGCCATTTTTTTCACAGAAAGATAGTAGACACAAGGATCACCATAAGTAGTTTGTGCAGAGAGCAAACATTACATACAGATATGTATGCATTGTTTATTCTCTTATTTTTTGCTCAGATATATACACAGCATAGCGCTTCTCAGTATGAAGATTTATGGTCAGAATCAGATTCCAGAGTCCTGATTCCTGTCGGCTTTAGTAAGAAGTCGAACGAAGTGAGGGAATGTGGAAAGAGCACGACATCCAGCTTCTCACCGGCCATTTGCAGCAAGCTTTTCGTAGGTGCAACCTGCATCAACCCCCAAAATTGAAAATGTCAATTATTGATTACTAGAATTCACATAGACATTGTGACAAATGCATGATTAGTTTTTTCGTTAAGGAGATAAATTCTGTTGAGTAGTAATAGTAAACACAGCGGGCTACATTTTGATGGTCAAATGTTCTATTTCAAAACATCTCTGCCACTCGAAATTAAAACTATGTTTGCGCATAGTCTCTCTGTTTGGCACATCAAAGAATACCAGTCCACACATGTGAGAATGTGTTATAGATGTAACAATTTAATGACTGAAAATGAAGTCCAGCTAATGGCTTAAGCTTTTCTATTGGTTCATTGAGGTCAGCTAACGGTCTTAATTTCAGTCCAGAATACGACCAGAATCGACCATTAGGTTCCTATTACCCCCTTCCATGGATCCAGAAACCACCGGTCTCGAATAAGAACCGACTCGTTGCCACCACTAGCAGATCACATAATGCTTGTTGGCTGTTTTATATCGGTGCTAACTCCATGTCTGCCATATGAACTAACATGTAGAAGAATCTTTACTAATGAATACAGCTAGCTAGAAATGATGACCATACCTTTGTAGGCTCGGTGAAGGAATTCTCATCCAGTACATTACTAGAGGTTAACAAAGTTTTTGTTGATCCCAATAACTGTTTGGAGTTCTGCTCAAGTCCATCTACAGTGATTTTAAGAGTCACATTGCTGGCCCCAAAGTTGACCGCCTGTGCATAGATGTACCAAGTGTATAATGAAAATAAGAAATGGTAAACAAAACGTCACCCAGACACTAAGGATGTTTTCTTTTGGATTGTTTTCAGTCGCAGACCAGACCAGATTTTCATAGTTATAAAATACACGGAGACCAAATATTACCATACCAGCAATTTCAGTCCAAAAGAAAACATCCTAAAAGCCCGTTTGGTAGGCTCCATCTTTGATTTATAAGCTAGTTTTTCACCAAACACTAATTCATTTCACTGTATGAAAAGGTAAAGGAAGTGTACGGGTTTCTTTTTGGCTGAAATGGCTGGAATTGATACTTATACCTAAATTTTTATATTATTTTCTTTGATTTATATAAGTAGATATATCTAAATAGATTGTTTAGAGGGAGAACTATCAAATAAGCCCTCGAACTTTCATAAAAAGTGCAAATAAGCCCTTTTACAGGAGGCTTTGTTCGGCTGTCGTCATTTGGGGCGGTTTCCGGTGGAATATTTTGATGAAATTTTTTGAGCATCTTCTTCATTAAGTCTAGTTTACCCATACCTAATTTCAGCTAAAAATTCAATCGAGAAGGCAGTCAAATGATTTTCTGAAATATATTGCGCTGTCTAACTGCGCAGTTATCTTCAAAAATTCATTTGGCTGCCTTCCCGATTTAATTTTTAGCTGAAATTTGGTATGCATAAACTAGACTTAATGAAGAAGATACTCAAAAAAATTCATCAAAAATTCCACCGAAAACCACCCCAAATGGCGATGGCCGGACAGAGCCTCCTATAAAAGGGCTTATTTGCACTTTTTATGAAAGTTCGAGGGCTTATTTGATAGTTCTCCCTTGTTTAGATAATTCAACTGAATAACCTATAACTTCAACTCCAATAGGTTCAGTCAAATCCAACCATTTCAATTCTTACCAAACAGGTTCTAAATGCAGGAGTTAAATGCTAATTGCAATTTTGCAAGGAAAAACACATTCAAATCACCATACTCTACTTGACATTCCCTGTAAAGAAATTTTAAACAAATCCAGTGTCACATCATTGTGTGCAAATAATCAAACCTTAATCCTCAAATACTCATGATTATCATCAGGGTTTTGCCAAGTGATAGCAGAAGCAAGGAGAGAGCTTGAAATGTTAGAGGTTAGGGTAGAGTTCAATAGAGTTGCCCCGTTTGACTCGCTGAAGAATTGCTGCATCCAGTAACTTGGCGTTCCATATGCTTGTGAAGAAGTAAAAACGATCGCATCCGGGCTCCACCTACGATAAATACAAATTTGTTCCAAAGGAAGTTCACATTGGTAAAGCCTGAAAGACCATTTTAAAATAGATTAAGGATGTCATTGTTAAGGGTAACAACTCACGTCCTGTCATTTTCATTCACAAACAGAGGCGCATAGCTTGCCATTTCAACAGCATCGCTGCATGGAAGGAAAATGCGCAAGAAAAATAAGAAGAAGAAGAAGAAGAAGAAGAAGAAGAAGAAACAATATTATAGATGGGGTTTTACTTCAAAGATATTTGGTTTAACTACATGTACATTTTCCGAGGTTGGGTCAAAGTACAAAATGACCTCAAGATCTTCGAAAATTACAAATCAAATCCTTTGACTGTCATAACATGAACATTTTACCACTTCAACGTTATCGGCTTACTACTCCTACATCCCCTGAGGTTTAGTCAGATTACAAAATACTCCCTCCGTCCCTTATAACTTTGCCAACTTTCCTTTTTTGGTTGTCCCAAAAACTTTGTCACTTTCCCTTAAAGTCAATAAATTTGTGGTTCCTGTTATTTCTCTCTCCTCTGCATAAATCTATACCACACAGTTTTTGCTTTATTATTCTACGTGCCGGTCAAACTTGGCAATCCTTTTAGGGACGGAGGGAGTAGTTCTCTAGGTCAAATGGCTTATTTGATATACAGTATGATGATATTAACAAAATTGTGTCTTCAAATTGAAATTGAAGGGTAACTTAGTCCAAAAAACAAAGTTCTGCTTTCATTACATTTCATATAATCTTTCAGAGTCGTTTGTGAAAATTTCTAACTTTTAGAAACCTTGAGGATTCGCATCTTGATCATTTTGCACACTCTAAGTAGTGGATGGAATTAACCCAAAGCTTCTTTAGACCTAAAAACGATACAGTCCTTACTAGTTTTTACTTTCAGTAACACCTAAAAGGGGAAAAGATGAAAAAATTGTATACCCATTTCTTTCAACTCCAATAAGAAACCCAGCTTCAGCTAGTGCAGCTAAAAGGCTGCCTTTGCCACAATCTTGCTTGGCAGTCACAGCATACTCACTTACAAAAGCCTACATACATAAACATAAAGTATATTGGATTCAGACTGACCACTCAGAATTAGAAGCAACCTCAGAAGTGAGAAATCTATAAGCATACCTTTGGACCACTCCGTGACACATGATTGAATTTGTTAGCCAAAGAGAAGACGTCACTTGCAGAGCTATAAATCTAATCACATAAAGTGTTACATTTGAGGTATTTCCAACTATTTGTTACTCCCACCGTCCCACTTTCTAAGATACATTTTCCTTTTTTAGGTTGTTCCAAAAATATGAACAATATCCCTTTATCTATCATTTTACTCTTTACTTTTTGTCACTCATCTTACTTTTAGGGGGTTAGAATTGTAAAATAGCCACTTTATCCTTTATTTTCTTAAAACCCGTGTCAAATTCACATGTATATTTGATTATGGGACGGAGGTAGTATATGGTGAAAAGGAAAAGAGCATTAGGGAGTAGCTTACATGATAATCATATAAATCAGCTGGATGATTCAATGGTTGGGAAGAGGCATCACAGTTCGATATTATATTAATATCTGGATAGGCTTGTTTGATCGCAGAGTAAAACTTGAGGTAGTTTCCTGAATCATGGAATAATAGTGGTGTTTAAGTGTGCAAAAATTGTGTTACTATCTGATCCAGAAAAGACTAAGCTGGTTCCAACTCCATATGATCGGTTCCAACTCATATTATCTAAATACTACCCAGGGCCGTTCCGACCTTCCTTTAGGCTACAGAGGCATGGGCCTCAGGGCCCCAAAAAAACTACGTAAAAAATTAGGGACCCAAAAAATTAACTGTTTATATACTGTATTATATATATGTATTCAAGATAAAAAATAAAAATACAGAACTATGTTAGTTGTTTGGCTTAAATCATGTACTATAAAAATAACAAAACCGGCGGAACAATAGAGTTATCAATCAAGTAGTGAAGTACAACCCCCAACTCCCGATACTATCTTGAAAAAGGTGAAGCTATTTTAATCAACATGTACTTTCCTATTTTGAATGGTTTGGCTAATTTATCCACCACTGAAGCTGTATCAATAAGATGTTCAAGTTTCTCATATCAATGTTTAAACATCAGCTGTTTATGAGGTAAACTTTGCTTTTGGAGGGTTAGTTAGGCCCAAATTTAATATGGCATGAAAAGCCTCATCTGGTTGCATTTTGTTGTATTTGACAACCCATAATTAAAGTAGTCAATATAAACTCGATTTGACATATCTATCCACCTTAAGTTGTCTAGTCAAGTACGGATTGTACTGAGAGGCGTGTGAAGTGTTAAGTCTCACAACTATGAGGCAAATTGGGATTATAGTTCAATTTACATCCTCCCAACGTACCGTCCGGGATGGGGTCTCATCCTTTCTATCTTGAGAATCATTTTTCGCTGAGTTAGGCTCATATTACAAAAAGTGTGCATACCACGGTATTTTGACTTCCAACAGTCTTCATTTCCTATGGCAACATATCTCAAATCAAACGGCTGCGGGTGACCCAATGCTGCTCTAACGGAACCCCAAGTCGAGGTGAGATCGCCTCTGGCAAACTCAATACCATCTAATATCTCCTGTTAAAGATTAAATTGCATTTGGTATCAACACATGTGAGATAATTAAGTTGGCAAATTACCACCTAAATAATCTATTAGCCATTATTCAACCTACCTGCACGAACGGTAGGATGCTTGACGTGTCAACCTGATCATTATGGCTGATTCCTGAAAATAAGATTAGGAAAAGAGGGTGAATTCTTATATCATCATCCATCTCTCTACTAGAGTTAAATCATGTTCTAAAAAGTGCTAGACGGGCCCCTCCTGGCGGATTGCTAAACAGGGCAGTATGGGAAACCATCATGGGCCTCCAAAAACTAGGGTGCAATTCTTTTAAATCCATTAGTTGTACCTAATTCAAACTAAAACAGTCGGACAGTTGAAGTATGGAAGCCCAACATGGTTTTTGAGGCCCACAACATGTATGTTTTTTTCAAATATTGTCCAGAGCCTTAAAATATGAAGAAACAGGTTATGCACCCACGTTGAGGTGGTAAGTAATGGCCATACCATTGTTGAAAACCCATACTGGCAGTGCACCCAAGTCTTCTGCAAGCTGGTGGGAACAAAATGAACATTGTTACTTGTAGAAATTCAAACTTGAAAAAGTATACAAAAACATTTTTCTGATGTGTTTTATTATATTGATATTGATTACCTGAAGGAATTCAAGGTGGCCTAACCCATCATCGGTCCAGTAATGCCAAACATCACCAAAATGCCCCGGCCTCTCTTCCCATGGTCCAATTGTTTCTTTCCACCTGAATGCATTCCTTAACCACTCACCTTCAACAAAACATCCACCTACAAACCACATATGTACATTAATCAATTTGATAAACTCAAACCATGTTTAAGCCACTGAGGCATACATGAAAGATGAAAAAACGCACACACCTGTCATATAGGTATAGTTAGTTAATGCAAGCAGATTATCATAGATAAAAGATCAATTAAAAATGGTGAAATGTGATTACGTAGTGCAATTTAATACTCCCTCCGTCCCATTTTGGTTGTCTTACTTTCCTTTTTGGGTTGTCCCAAAATGGATGTCATGATTCCTTTTTTGGTAAGAAATTTGTGGTCCATATCATTTCACTTCATTCTACTCAAATCTCAACCACAACTTTTACTTTTCAATCACTTTATTAATAACCGTGCCAAATTGAAATGAGACAACCATTATGGGACGGAGGTAGTACCTAGTTATAGACGGACCTTTCCTTTTTGTCTTTCTAGTCCCTAATTTCACTTTACCTTGTTCAAGCCAATACTAAGCTCTTTCTTGAAAGAGCATATGTGCTGGTATGACCTCCTACTCCATCTAAATATAAAGATACAAACTCACATATAAGACTTTGGGTTACTCTAACTATATAAAGCTTTGGGCTAGTCTAGTGATTCGACGAACCCTTTACTAATAGAATCTCAAGTCTAAATTTGTAGTGCTTCAATGTAAAACAATCAAATACAATATATACCTGGAAATCTGAGGAATCCCGGTTTCAAATCTTTAATCATTCCAAACAGATCATTTCTGAAACCATGTCCCTAATTGCATAGAGACATAGTGAAAGATAAAATGTGGATTAACCATATGGCATAAGTAGAAAATCAAAATCTGGTTATCCTCATTCAATTAATGAATATTAAATTCGCATTCAACAAATTGGCAGGCATGCAAACCTTGTATGTATCGAGAGGCATCAATGATACTTGATCAAACCATATAACACCACTCTTTGTTGTAGTCAGTTCTAGTCTAGAATTGTGATCCGTTCCCTTTGCTTCCAGAACTACCTCTATCTTTGTCCAATTTGAAACATTACCAGAACTGCATTTTAGAAATAAGTAAAACACCATGTACGTTTAGAGAGGCAGCAATGATACTTGATCAAAAACCATATTAAATCTTGCTTACATTATCTCGGCACTAGCCAACTTCTTTAGTCCATCTGATGAAGTCAGTGATGCTGAAACATTAAGGCTTTCAAGTGAACGGACATGAAATGCAAGTTTATAACTCTTCCCTTCCTCTATGTTCTACAAAAGGTTAACAACAAGAGAAATATGAGTACATGTTGTGCTGGAGAGTAGCCCCCCATCGCATATTAAGAAATCTTTTGTTACATTGGCTAATCTATTGGATTCAATCTTTTAGTGTGTCAGCTTGCATTATGACCTATTTAAGTGACTACGAGCTAGATATCTCACCATGCCCCAGAATCCAGGATTGTAAACACCAACTCCCCCGTACGGACAGGTATTAGCACCCTTGTCGCTGCAATGAATATCTAGCCGAAGTGCAATTTTATTCCGCTCAAAGTAAGAAGACCGTTCCGTGGAGACCGTCAAAGAGGACTCATCCCCAATAATTGACCAAGGATCAATGTTGGAGGGTGTATTCTGACCCCCCGCTTCAAAACCTGAAATCAAGTTTCCGAAAACGAATGAAATAAATTAAATATTATCAAAACAATCTTACAAGCATAGACTCTTGGATTAGAAGTACTATTGAGAATCTCTTAAACAGTTAAACATAAATCCAAATGGAGATATTGTTAGGACTACAAACATCACGTTAGCTGCACATTAGTATCCTATTGCCTATTTTGGGCTAAACTTGTAAGGATTTGCTTTTAGACATCTCTCAAAAGGCTTCATACTAATGGAGTTAGGTGGATACTTATATTCAAAGTGATTCTCCAGTATTTCTCAAGTGCTGGACCTGGGTTGCACCCCAACAGATATAATATATGTACATACTCAGAAAGCAAAGGCGGTCATTGTAATCAAGATAAAGAAAATCATTATAAGCAATGATTTTAAGTCAGCCACTGAAGAAAAACAAGTATCTGTTCAGCAAACCTCTATTGCTCACAAGCTCTGCCCACAACCCACCAGCACCAGCATGATTAATTTCCTGAAATAAAATATTTTCCTAGAATTAGTGCATGTTAAGAGTATGAAATCTAAATATTAAAGACGACATAAAGATTTATACAAAATAACAAAACTTTGCATGGTTTTAATATATATAAATCTAAGACATTGATATATTGAGTCAGACTAGGGAATCAATATGATTCAACCTTTTTAATGGTTTGACCAAATGTGTATATTATGACCAAATTGCACAATTCAATCATTTATGAATTCTAGAACTAATGAATTAGACTAGGGATTCCAGACAAGTCAGAAGGAACAAAAGTCTCAGGTGCTAAAAATGTAAGCAAATGTTATACAACCATATATTATTCACACGAATGTAAATGCACATGAACTAATAAGATCACACGTGAATCATAGAATTAATCGATCCGAACGGCTTACCTCAAAGAATAAACCGAACAAAGTGTTTGGTATTTTCTTTGCTGATGCTTCTGAGGCATCCACATGGAGAAATGCTAACTGTGTATTGACTGTGGTTCCAGAACATTGGTTCAAGGTAAGAATCCCCAAAAGAAAGAAACTAAGGATGCCCAAAAGAGATGGAGCTGAATTCATTGCTTTCCCACCACACTCAGAGAAGCCCTATGCTATTTAACTGCTGCAGAAGTGCTAAGTCAGTTACTTTATAAGTGAAACTATCCTATAGAGTCTACTTAAAGCATACACAAACAGAAAAACACACTTCTCCATTTTAAGGCTTGGGTTTGGTTTGTATTTATATATCTATTTAACTTAATATGGGATGACCCAATTCGACATGACCTGCAAGATCGTCACTAATTAAAAGTTAAAACATATCAATATTAAAGTAAGTGTGCTAGTTTTTTAGGATTACAAGGATTATATCACGCATTTAAGCTTAATAGAGTGTGACGCCCATCAAAATGTCAACTTGATAAGAAGAGTAATACATACATTTATGATTTATGCTCTGTACTGACTAATGTGTAAATGTGTACTAATCCAAAGCCTTACCTTGTTTTGCTTTTTTATTTTTAAATGTTCAATTTCACCCAGTAACGTGCCAAGCTTTGAGAAGCTAAGAATCTAAGGTCAATAGAACAAAGTCACAAAGAAGCACATTAAAATAGGAAAATATTGAATGAATACCAAATAATTAGTAAAACAGGGTCATCTAAATTTTCATATTAGATAGGCAAAACCCCAATAATATTTGCAATTAGTTGTTATAATTACCTGGAGACGACCTACAAAGATGGAAAGATTCTGGGAAAGAAGTGCACTTTATGGCTTGATGCATGATGCAGATAAAGAGTAGTTTGTTGGGAGGATGAGGTCACAGTGGAGCTGGTGACGAGTGATGACTGACTTTAATTTGTGCCAGTCTGTGAAGTTTATATACTTGCTTGCATATATGTTAAAAATGGAGAAAGATTAAGAAAGATTGTTGCTTGAAGGATGTAAAATGCTATTATGGGAAAGTCTTTGATCTTATCTTTGCTTTCACGTAAGCTTTTCTTCTTTTGGTTATGTTGAGGTTACGATCCAGTTTGTTAGAATTGCGGTGTTCTTCTCTAAAACAAGTAGAGAGTATGGACCCCCTCTGGAAATTCTGGATTTTTTGGATAAGAATATTTAATACGTGAAAATCGGATAGCTGGCTCGGAAGACTCGAACACGGGCGACTTTGTCACTAAAGTACAAATGATTACTCCCTCCGTCCCGGAATTATCTTCGTATTTTCCTTTTTGGTCAGTTCTAAATTTATCTCTTCTTTCCCTTTTTAGCAAAGAATTTGTGTTTCACAACCTATCTTACATTCTTACACATTTCTCTTTCCTCTGCACAACCTTCCACCATACATTTCTCACTGTCTTAATATCTGTGCAAATTGTACTTGTGAAGATAAATATGGGACAGAGGGAGAACATTTCAATCTCATATCGAACATTGAGAATTTTAACGGGTCAAATCGAATCTTATATTAATCATCAAGGTTTCATAATTGGTACTCTCTCTATCCCGAATTAATTGTCTTGTTTACTTTTGCACAACTTTTAATAAAGTGATTGAAAAGGTAAAAGTTGTTGTTGAGATTTAAGTAGAAAAAGGTGAATTGATATGAGTCACTCATTATTGAAAAGGAAAGCAGGACATTTGTTTCGGGATGGAGGGAGTAGTTTTCTGGACATTCACGATACTCTTCTTTCTTTAATAAAAATTGTTGGACTTATATTTTCTTTCTTTTTGTGTGTCAATATACTAATTTAATTGATGTATACATTTTGGAATATTTAATTTGAATTTTTAGGATATATAATTCGATTTTAAATAATAACTTACTCGTATTACATTTAACAAGTTAAAAATATATTTAGAACTTTTCATTCATATGATTTTTATGGAGCTTTGAGAAATATTGATTTTTTCAGTTAATTTAACAATACTAAAAAATTCAATTACATTATAATAGATTTCGCAGTTATAACATCTAATATTCTAAATCTAAATACACGAATTAGGTTATTTTTATTGTTTAGGTACATAAAAATATAAAATCAAGAAAAAAATGAATACTTATAGCTTTCAAATGTGAAGTGTATGGTAGGTGTCCAAAAATGATCATAAAAATGTTACATTTGATTCATTTATAACTTTAGTGTTCAATATGACATATACATGTAATCATAGTGTCAAATTTGGTTCATTTGAAACTTTAATGTCTAATATGAAATTCACACATAACCATAGTGTCCAAAATGACCTTTATTCCCATGTAGAATTCTAATTGATTCAAGTAAATGCAGTTTTTAAAAAACTAATTATTTGTGAAAATTATTCTTTTGTCTGTAAATACACTATTCACAGACTTTATGTATGAGAGGATGAGACGTGTATAGAAATGACATGTACAATAAACAAGGAAGTGAATGTGTGTCGTATGTCAATGTAGCCGGAAAATGTGGTACGCAGCATATATATACACTACTAGGTATTTTCTAGCTCAATTCAAATTCGGGAACTTGTAGGGATTTTTGTAATTTTCTTTACTGATTTCTCATTTCATAATAAGAAAATATTGATTCCATCAAAATTATGACTTTGTCTATACAATTTTCATTTAATACAAACACTGATTTAAATTCAAAAACGCTTGTTCTACATTTCAAAAGGCTCATTTTGTACTAGTCAAATCTCCACTACATCACATGGATTATTTAGACAAATTTTGATTTTGTACTCCCTCCGTCCCCCTAATATTGGTACGGAAGGAAGTGGTGTCGTTTTTTAGAAAAGTAGAATTATGTGATTGATAATGAGTTGATAAAGTAGAAATAAAGTAAGAATGAATTAGAGCTACACAAATGTTTCCAAATATGGTATGTGACAATAATAATGGGACATCCAAAAATGGAAAAATTGGATAATTATAAAGGGACAGAGAGTAATGTACATTCACATGGTAACATGGATTGCATATATAATGTTAGAATTGCTCAGGAATGTGTTAAAACTTTTTCCTTTGGATTACGTTACAAATCAAAATAAATCAACCAGGCCACATGAATCAGTTGGGTCTTGGATATAAAGACATGTGAAGACGTGAAGTTGGTAAAGCTCTGTTTGAAATGATTTGTTTTAATTATAGCCTGACATAATAATGTTTTAAAGATATACAAATTGTATAAATAGATAACATTGTTGGCTCAAAATGATTTTTTTAAAGGAGAAAAACAGTTGTTGCAAAAAGAAAAAGGAGAAAAACGGTTCAAAATGAATTAATTAAACACTATATTTTGAAACGTTTTGTGTGTTTTTGAAGTTTATTAATCCACTTTTCAACATCACTCATTTAAAACATTAAAAATCGATATCATACAATTAAATAAAAGTTATTACAATATGTTAATATCATAAAAGTTATTTCAAGGAAAATTTGAATATTTCAAGAAAATTAAATATGATTTTTAGAAATGAAGAAATTTTAAAAATCAATTCTAATAGCTTTATTACATTATGATTACTTTCTTGCGGAGTTTTATTTAGGAAAAATATAAAAATATAGAGGGACATTATTTAAAATTCATATAACACTCAAAGTAGGGTCAATTCTTATCCCAAAGTTTGAGTACTTATTTGGTAGTTCTCTCGATATAAATATATAGAATGGATATCTATTAAATTTTTTGTTGAGCAATAAGGGATACAAAAACATTCATATGTATAAAGTAATGTTGAATTAATTAACCGTATATCGTATTGTATAATACGCTGAATGTATATGATTCTTTAACTTCAAAAGATCAATGAAGTTTGTTGTAGGTAGAATCAAATTACTTAATAAGTGCGTCCTTATTAGCTTGTTGAATAATAATTGGAGGATACATATATGTTACGTTAAATATAGTAACGTGCAGAAATGGGCTAAAAGGAAACAATGATTAATTGCTGTAAATGCCAAAGCGGATGTTCTTTTCTGCGTTGGGTCTGCAGTGTTGCTTGTAAGATTAAAGGCAAAAAAATAATTAAACCATATTATTAATTAATTAATTAATTTAATACTCGTAATAATTCATATAAGTAGTACTTATATTTATTATTATTAGATCGACAGCTCAATTGATATAATGCTTACAAGCAAACCTCATGCCAAGTTTGGAAGCAAGACCAAGAAAGTTGGTCAGCATATCTCTTTCATTCTCCTTTTACAAACTCTCAGCTCCTTCGAGCATAAACAAGATCGACTACCTCATTCATAAATGCGTGAGGTAGTCGACGGATCGAGCATAATATATGTGCAATGTGAAGATCGATGCGTAATATACAAGAGTCTGTTAATAAATTAGAGAGTACGTATGCATAACAATTCTTACAAAAGGTGTTATAAAAGAATATACAAGAGGTGTTTACTTCGCTCTTAATGTCACAGTTAGGTTAGTAAGACAAGGGAAGTAAACACGCAAGCTGCTTAAAAAATTGCTTACTAAGCGAAAGAGGTGTTTATAGTGCCGTTTATAAGCATATCACTCGTCATGTATTAATTAAGTGACACTTTAAGCTTATTTAGTTTCCGAATTTACCCTTATACTTACCTCTAATCATTTCCCTATTGTTACCCCTCTACCCGCTACCCCTCTACGGCTCTACCCACCCACGCCCCTACCCCACCCTTACCAACCTCATCCTACCTTACCCCTTACCCCGATCATACCCCTGACCATATACCCCTTACCCCACCCCATTCATACTCCTTTACCCTACCCCAGCCCTACCCCTTTACCCTGTACCACCTGGCCCTACCTTGACCCCACCCCGACCCTGACCACCACCACTATTCCCATCCCATCACCACCCGTACCCCCATACCCTACCTGACCATACCCTTTTACCCCATACTACATGCCCCTACCCCGACCCTGACCCTAACCCTACGAGTAGGGTAGGGGTTAGGTGGTATGAGGGGTTGTAGGGGAGTAGGGGTAGAGGGTAAGGTCGTGGTAAGGGTAGAGGTAGGGATCAAGGAATTGGGGTAGGGGTTGGGTATGGGGTATAGGGAGGTATGGGTACGCGTACGCGGTGACCTCCACATATTATATTACTCCGTATATACTTGTGTCATTAATGTTTTTGTGTTTATATATGTATGGGGTTATTTTGGACATTTTAATGTTAAATGGTGTTTTAAATCCTTTGAAGTAAACAGGAGCTTACAACACTGCTATTTTTATGTGTCACTAGTGTGATAACTCGTATCACTTTTACAATGTAACAGGCTCATAAAAGCGCTGTCAGAAAAATTAGATCTTATTGCTTCATGGGTTACTAAACAGTCCTTATTAAGACTCGCGGGTGTATAGTGTTTAGCTGTATAAATATTCGCCTTATTGGATCCTTAAGACGAACAATGTTTATCACTTATTATCAGAAAAAATCGATATGATCTAGTATTTTACAATGTTTATTAGCTATATAAATGCTCGTCTTATTCTTATTGCTTATTGCTTATTCTTATTTTATTCAGATCAAATTAGATCAGAAAAATTCAAATCAATTTAGAAAAATTCAGACCAAATCAAATTACATAAAAAAGATCCAGAACAGATTAGAGACATTCAAAATCATCTCAAAATCATTAAGATCAAAAAAGTTCAAACATTGTTTATTACATAATATTATTACTTTTACTATTATTATGATTGATTTTGTTTTTATTTTATTATTATTATAATTATAATTATTATTTGTATTATTATTACTATTATTATTATTGGTATTATTATTACTATTATTATTATTACTATTAGTAATATCATCATCAATATTTTTATCAATATTTTTATTATTGTTACTGTTCTTATTTAATATTATTGTTATTACAATATAGAGCTTATCTGCCAACTTTTTAATCAAACATCGTAACATTTTATTTCGCGCGTTGAACTATGCATTAATAAGAAAAAATACGGTTGAAATTACTTTTCTGCCTGTATTGGCTGAAGTTACTATAGATGACAATTTTAACTAATTTTTCATATAATTTTTTCTTTATTTTATTAATAAAATATATTTTAAATATAATTTTTTCATAAATCAGCAGAATCAGCCAATACAACCACTTCACCCAGAACTTAATAAAATATATTTTAAATATAATTTTTCATAAAAGCATAAGTTCTTGCTATTAATATTTTAATAGCTATTCCCACAAATGTTTATTGAAAAATATAAACTGATGAGCAAAATAAGTACTTTATCAAACATTCAAACAGGCACTAAACATAACATACTCTGTAATCTGTATTTGCGTCCTATTGAGAATTAAGAACTTGTAGAAAGTTGAAGTCTGAGTGAGTTATAACTTGTAAGTATTCGGTCGCAGTTCAATCCATGTGACAAGTCTAAAATACCTGCCTCAAATGGCAGTTGAAATGTAAAACCACATCACACTATCACAGTAACGAAGGACCAGAGTTCTATGCCTATAAGGTCTTAAAACTGAGCTGTCGCACCAAGATCAAGAAGCTCCTCAGTGTAACTGAAGTACTGAACATGAAAATTCTTCATGTTCCCTTGTGTTGTCAGTTGGTTCTATTGCTTACACCCTATTGTCAAACATGGATCCTGTTAAAATTCTTCATGAAGAAAAAATGTTTGGAGACATTGGAGCACGGGGTGTCAGGGTCAAACAGTTTAGTTCAAATAACGAAAAGGAAAAAAGGAAAGAACCATGCATTCCCTTCATAGACATAGAAAAAGAGCAATGGGCCACCGAATATTAGAAAAGTTAATTGTGTTATATCCCAAGCTGTCGAAGAGAATCGGGACCGATGAGGAATACACGCCTTGAGGTCTGATACCGAAAAATTACCACTCCTTTATATGCCGTTCTTGGAACACCATCCTGGTGAAAAAATACATCCAGAAATAGACAACCATAAAGCAGTCAAAAAAATTAAAATACAACAAAATGTAGCACATGTTTGATTTGAATTGAACCACTACTAAGTTACTGGAAGAATTGGATCAAACCACTGGCTTGGGTCCCTATATTTTATATTGTTACTGTACTTTTTATCATTGTTATTATTGTCATTAATATAAACCAAGTTCATCGGGTTAAATAGAAAAAAAACAGCTCATTTAGAATCAAACTAGGGGCATACATTATATAATTGTTAAGTTACTTAAAGGAGTACTACTCCACCTCAAACATATGCACAATGAAAAACAGAGGTGAAAGAGACATGCAAAAGAGAATTGGCATTGGAGTTTTGAAATGAGAGTTGTATCTAGGTAGGGCCAATACCATTGGGAATTCGTACTATTCTGTGCTCTAGACAGTATAAGGGTGGAAGATACAAGATGTAGACAATATGAAATACTGGCACAGAAAGGGGAAAACTTGAACCAGAATTGGACATTTAGAGGTGATGTAGAGTCATACTGTTTGTGAAGCTCATACAGAAAACAACAAGGATCTGAAAAATGTGAAGACACTTGGAGATACCATTGAAAACCATGTTAATGAAGAGGGAGATATTTTGTTGTGAATGATGAAAAACGATTGTGCAGCCAACTGTATGGCCTTTCATAGAATGTGAAACCTTGGAAGGGTATAATGGTACAACCACTAGTGTGCCTTCAATTTTTTTGGATGAAATGTAAATGTGTATATCACCCAGAAAAAGTTAACATATAAGCAAATCTTTCTAACCTCAATATAGAAATCATGATATACCCATTCCTTCCCCCTTACCCCAAACCAAAGTCCCTGGGCCCCAACCTAGTTAAGGCCCGAAGCCTGTTACAGTACAGTCCATCAAAATCCCAAATCAATACATCAGAAATTAGAACCAGGGGCTGAACCAATTAACGTCCGTTACCCACCTAACACCACAAACCACTTCAACGAGACCCACCCTTCCGAACAGCCGCCCTGCTTGACAAAAGCCCATTAGGGTTGCATTTCTTCCGGGTCAAGTCCAGTCTAGCGGCCCACTCTCACTTTCAGGTCAGCGCAACATCAACCCAGAATGCGGCCCAGTCCATCTCAATCACCAGACGCCCCGACCTGCATATCGCTTTGAACCCTAGGATACTTGACGCCGCAGCAGTCAACTCTGTCCAGCTCGCTAGCACGACGGAGGCATGGATTCACAGGCTGTCATCTCAGCCTTGTACCCAATCCTGCCAAGTCCGGCCGTAGCCAGGCGTTTGTCAGTACCACAGCCTCAATTCCAGCCATAGAAAACCAGGGGCCTTCCGGCGTAGTACTCACCCGTAATTCCTCAAGCAAAATTTCCGATCAAGGTCCAACCAGACCCCCCCCCCCCCCCCCCCTGCCCAGCAGAATCCAGCCATCAAGCCAAACTGCAAACACCAAGCAAGGAAAACAATGCAGGGCAACTTCTACCTATAAACAAAAGATGTGAACAATCAAACGGGTTTACAAGCCAAAATGAACACGCCAGCTTCCAGACGTAGTGTACCAGTGGCTGCCAACTCCAAATCTCGGGCCTTGGCCAAGCAAGGGATTCATAACACGTCAAAAAGAAGTGGAAGCTGCGTCCAACTTGCAACGGGAACCCCTCACCCATTGCTGTCACCATGAAAATGCAAACCACCCTTGAGAGAAGAAAAACATACCAGCTCCCTGCAGCAGTCTTGAAACCGGCAAGTCCCTATACATTTTGGGGATCCAAAACACCAAAAGATCGTGTTCTAGCGTGCCCATCCACTAGACCCCTGCACCTTCCGGACTGCCCCAACTGCTCTGACGCCTTGTCTGAGGATGGAGATACTGCTAGCACTGGAAAGCTTTCACCAGGTGCTGCTAGCGCCAGAAAGCTTTCACCAAGGTTGTAAATGATAAGGTAAAGGCGAGAGCGTACATGATAACCAACGTCCGAAGAATAAAAAAGTGGTAACCAAACCGCCGGACCCCATTTGGCTGCTTGGACCCTTTGTTCAGTAGGCTGCACCTCCATATTTTCCGGCCAAGGAGAACCTTCCAGCATCAAATAGACCTGTGAGTGTGTAACTTACAGCCAGTGGGCGGATCCCACCCCTACGAACCAAATACCATTCATACCACCTAGGTGGTCAAACAATTCAAAAAAAGGCCATAGCCATGGAAGGCGGCGGCGGAGACTGACCGGGGGCAGGGAAGAGGAGGGCAACCTAGGATTTCCAAGTGAGAGACACTCTCAACCCTCTCTAGAAACTCCTCCGGCCGGCTTCAAGGCTTCTTCAAGCTTCAAAGTGTGCCTTCAAGAATATAATTAGTCGTTTCTTATGCTTATCTGTTATCTCTATTGCAAATAGGTGTTCAAGGCCCTCCAAGTTAGGAAGGGGGCTTCACGGACACTTCACGTTCAGATTGAGTGAAAAGTAAGTGCAGCTAAATATCTACTTATCAATGTTCAATGAAAAATGAGCAATGGTACTGCCCATATTGTGAGACCTAGTTTAAACCCTATATAAAGTCATATGATTTACTCCAATCAGTACATAGAATCTTTTCCATCCTAAAGAATAACTTCCCAGGCAACCTACAGCTGAGATGTGTTAAAAAAATGCTATCAGTATTGTACCCACTGACAAAATAATCAAAAAAATTGAAACCTCAACAGGACATATCAACGGTACACCTTGAAAAATAAAAAGACCATGAAAAGTAAAAAACTAAAAGCAATTTTACCTTCCATTCTCCAAAAATGCCAAACTGGTGTGCAACTTCTTCAAAATGTAGCTGATCTCTGTACTGAATACACACATCACCACTCATATTACTTGCTTTTAGAGCAACATCAGCCCCATCTATCATTTTAGCTTTTTTAACCATTTCCGCAAAGTGCTTCAGATAATTTTCCTGAGGAAAAATAACTACAAGTTACCACAAAAAGCCCACAAACAGTTAAAACAAACAAAATTGAAGTAAATTGCTAAACTGTTCAGTTGTTTCCTTTTCAGAAAAAAAAAACTAAAAACATGCTGATGATTTTTTTAATTAAGCACTTGGACCCTCACCTCCATGAGGTAGCTCAAATCCATTGACTTCCAGTCAACCTTGCAACAAAAATTAAATGAACATGTTAACATAGATCAAAGCAATGGACAATGATAATAGATAGAAAGCAGGTGCATACATGCCTGGACATCATTCAGTTTAATTGGTGCAAGATATTGATGGAAAAACTGCCCCAAGCTAGAACCCTGAAAGATGACCATCAAGCACATAGCTGCAGAAACTCAAGAAAATTTTCAAGCTCATGTACAGTACTCTAGTGTGACCTAGATGGGTATAACTTAAAAGGTTTTCAATCTAATTATGATAAATTAATTCCTGGACGGAAACAAACAAGCCTTAATCCCATCAGATAGCTACTGTCAGTTATAAAAGTCAATAGATAATCTCCTAAGGGTATCGGCAATCTTCATTTTTCATTCTTTTATATAATGCATTATGTGCTCATGAAGCCTTAATGGCCAATGCCCTAATGTTTTTATGCTTTCAATCCATGTCACTTTTTGCCATCTTTAAGTCCAGGGCATTCTAAGTCAAACTCTTTGTCCTAGGGCACTTACCCCTTGAATCCAATCATGCACGAAGCACATAGTCAGCTCTCCCTTACCTTGAGTTCCCTCTAGATACAAAAAAAATACAATGGGAAGCTCGGCTGTGTTTCTCGGGCCTTATAGTAGGGGGGAGTGTGGTGGGAAATATAGAAAACACCTTATTTAGACTTACATGCTCCCCAAAATTGTATGTTCTGCAAATCTCCGGGCGAATGAATTGACGACCTTTGTGATTCTCTTTTAGTCTCAACCAATCATCCCAATAAGTGAAACTTAGGTCAAAGAAAATGCTCAAATGTTCAAGAAATATATTATTCATCAAACTTCCAATAAATAAATGCTTCATCCCTAAAAGGATATGCATTTGGCCATTTTGGAGATAATTCATCCCATGTAGACTTCGACAGCATCCACCCCAGACCAGGAAAAAAGTCTGAGCGGAAAAGCGCATCTGCAGGGAATATTGTGGACAATGCCAGTTAAGATGGAAAATTGTGGAAGAAATTCCAGAAATTCAATAGATGAAAACCATTTACTGAAAATGATAGCATTAACTTCAAGTCAGAAATATGTGTGTGTGTGTGTGTGTGTGTGTGACAGAGTAAGAAATAGAATTGAACACCTCAAAAGCCCTAAGAGGCATCAGGGGAAATGTTTTAGCTTGAAACTTGACACAAAGAATTGAAGTCAAAACATGTAAGAGAGCATTTTTACTCTGAACATAAGATATAAGGCCACTGGAACACTCAACAACAAAGGAAATGAGATCATAGATGAAAAGTTGCAACAGTGGATGAAAATGCTCAGAATGATGACAAAGCAACATCTGTGATGTGGAACAGAGATACACAATAACTATGAAAAGCTGAGTAAAAATAATATGTGAAGACAAACCCTAGTCGCAAGAAACTCAAGAAAGGGATAATGTAGTAGCAAACTAAAAACTGATTATTTATAAGCAGGCGTGAAGAAAACTTACAAGGATCTTTAACAAATTGCTGTTGGCCATTATCATTCCACGAAGAAATAGCCATAACTGACCTAAATCATCCCAGGAAGTTAAATTGTTAAATTACATTGTGACTTTTACATCCTGCTCTGAATACTAGTTTGATTGACATCCCGATGGGAAAGAAGGAAAAGACAGTCTTTGACTTCCCGAAGGCAAGGCTGCTACCAAGCCTTAAAACGGATATTGACTGGAGAGCAAGAAAAATGACCTACTTATCTCTGTCTAGGAGAGTAGCTCCAGCCTCAAAATAATCAAAAAAATCAGTCGCAATTTCCATATCATCTGCATGCCATGAATGCGTGCACAGTAAATATAAGAGCAAAGAAAGACTCGCAAACTGATAAGACATCTTATGGTACCTTCAAGTATTAGAACACGGCTAAAATTATGCTTGTAAAACAGCTCATCCAATGCCCATTTGTAATGACCTAAGCAGCAGATACCAGTAACTTAGTAACTAATACTTTGGAGTAGGGGGTCGGGGACATAATTTGCAATAAAAATGAGAAATTGCTCACGTGCAATCTTGTAATATGCAATGATTTCCCCTGGTCTTTCTGTATGCACTGGTTCATAATCCAAGTGCTGTATAAAAAGTAAGAATGTATGTGTCATTCCTTTTTAGCAAGAATAGCACTTATAGCAGAGTAGTTTTTTCTGTTTGTCCCATACCATATTTTGTAACATACGTGTGGCTAATAAGTAATAATCATGAATACTTTAGTAATTTAATATCAATCTTACCAATACATTTTTCCTTAATTTGTGTCATTTTCACTTGTCCCAAACTTAGTGGAACATAGGGAGTAAGTTTTTACTTTGCTACATGTAGATTAATAATTTTTAGCACAAGGGTTAATAGTTGTGGATACGCGGATGGGAAATAATTTTTAGCACAAGGGTTAATAGTTGGCGACAGTATAGGATGAAGACGTTTAGAACAGGAGGGTTCAGATTGTATAGCCTTGACTTCATATTTGGTTACATCTTACAATTTTGTTTGGATCACTTTTGTAACAATGATGTTCAAATTATATTACACTAATATTCATATAATTTCAATATCTACATAATAGTTATTATGTAATTCAATTTGATCATTATTGTTATTGTTGACTCTTTGTCGTTATAAATGCAAAAACGCCATAACATGGGGCATATAGCTAGGGACTCCTGCATACCTATTAATGATTACCATTAGTGGAACTTGCAGTTCCTCCCAACTGTGATTGTCAAACTGTAATTGCATTGCGTATACTATTAATATTATTATTAAAATTTATTACTATTACATGTTAAATCATTAATAAGTCAAAGGCATGCCTTTATACTTTAACTTTAGCTAGATTATGATCTGCTTATGTGAATCCCTAGAAAGAGTATAAACCATTATTTTTGATTGCCCGTTTTACCCCTTTCCTGTAGGAGCATAGACCATTACCTGCATATATGTCAACTGATTATAGCTCAAAGCTAGCTTTTTAACATCAGGATGTGCACCATCCTGCAAATAGGTGGAATAATGATTTTGTACTACAAAATTAATGTCATATGAAAAAATATGCCAATAATAATCTGCAACAATATCACTGGTTACCTGGGATACGAAAAGGGGAAACTTTGAAGCAACAGAAGTCTGGTGTCTAAATTAATAAAAAAAATAACAAACATGAGTTGAAAATATCCACACCTCAACTAAAACACCTTGCGGAATTCTAACAAATAAAACATACTTTAGAATAGACTGAATAGTCCTTTTGAGGTAGTCTGCACGACTACAAGCCATGACAACAACAGCTGCCACTGGAGCCTGGCTAATTTAGTTATTATTAATATATTAACTAATAACATAGTACTGTTGCAGTGAAAGTGCTAGAAAATAATTTCAATTGAATAACACGCGAGACACTTCAAATTTATGTGACCTGGATACTGCTTACCAACTTCTGCAAGCCTGTACCTGCCACACGAGAAACACACTTTCACGATCACAACGTTAAATTTAGATAAAAAGCTATGTGGTCGATAATAAACCAAGTCCGAGGAAATTCTTTATTCTCTAATTTCTTTGTTAAAATGTAATAAAGGGTAGACATAATCAGGCAAATATTTCTCCAGGGACAGGGTCTTAAAACAAAAGAAGTATAAAATCACCGATCCTTTATTGTGCAAAAACATACTCTCCAGATCTTGAACAAGAGTTCTTAGGTTCTGGCACTCTTTTCTTTGGCGCTTCATTTCCTCTGCAAATAATATCATGGAGCTATAAATAAGGATAATTGGCTATTAACCATACATGATTCCTATAGTGGAAAATTCTAATGTTAGAGAATCTTTTCAAATTAGTAAAGAGGATTTATCGAGATTCTGTAATACTCCGTATCTGTTTCTCATCACGGACTAGGTATAGAACATAAAACTACTCACAATCTGTTTATTGTGTATAAATTTATCTCCAAGCATCCTAATGGTGACATATATTACATTTTTTTTGGTATTATCAAGAGACACATTTCCAAATTCCAAAAACAGCAATCCCTACCCCTCCGAAAAAAGGAGAACCAAAAAACAACACCACCATCTCTTGAATTCATCATTGATAACAGATGAACACTTATTGGAGTAATTTCCATGAGCATACACGATGGAAATATTAATAATCACCGAAATTGTACACCAATTCATGATTTGTTTGCCAATACACGGAATGCAAATGGTCAGGCAGGTCAGCTGATAGAATCAAATAACAGAGAAGTTGAACGAAGACGAAAATGAAAAAGTAAAAGTGAAGTTTATAACTTAGCACCAATAAAAAAACGGACCTTCAAGCACAGTAATTCGCCCTTGCTGCAGGCTAATCTGGTCAATGAGCGATCTTGTCTGACTTGTACAGTGGTTTTCTGCATCTATCTACGGAAATCCGTGTTAGGAGCAAGAACTAACTTTGACTAAATACCACAGATACTCAAAGAGGAATAAAAGCCCAGAAAGACATACTGCAGCAGCAAGTCGATCAGCATGTTCAGACTGTGTAGAAAAAAGCCGCATCTGGGAAGGAGAGAGTATCGCATTGGATGTAATTATACTAATATGACTAATTTTTATCAACTTCAATGACGGAAAATGGGGTAAAACTGATGCAGATGTAAAGGTAGGCTAGCTGAGTTATTTGAAGTTTAATATTGCAACTTGATCACAGTATATAACTCCAAGAACACAAGGGAAAGAAATGTACTTTAACAGCAAACAATGGGTCGCTGGTGAAAAAATGAAACATTGCACATTACGCAGCAGTGAAGAAAAGGAAAGCCAGAAGAAGCTATTATAACGGTGACAAGGGGATTTGGGGCGGAGAAGAAAAGAAACATAAACAATACCTGGATGTAAATGAAGGTCAGGGCAGCTAAAATGAGAAGGTACCGGAAATCACACGACCACCGGAGGTTGTTACCGTTCGTCCTCATTATTGTAGGCTAGATCAACCTGCTCGCGTGTTGGAAATCACTGCTGCTGGCTGATCTTTTTCCGATCCTAATTTGTGTTTAATTTTCCTTCGTTTGCCTGAGCCCGGAAGACATCAAGAAAGGAGGGGATCAGATTATTAAAGGGTGAAAAAGTGAGTTTACATAGTTTGTGTATGAGAGAATTACATTGTTTTAATTATATGTGTTTAGATAAATATATCCTTTTAACTTTTTAGCTTAAAATAAATATTTAATAAAATAAAAAAAAAGACTAAACAAAAAATAAAATTTATAAAATTAAAAAATAAAAATAAAAAAAGCGTAAAAAAATACAACGCCGCCTCTGCCACCTCTAGCACCATCATCTCCGATCACCGTGGAAAAATTGCCAACATGCATTAGTAATGTCATATTGATTGCAGTTTCAATGAAATTTTTTTCATTATCAAAGAGTAAGAATGTTATTTTCTTGGCATTTGTTTCCACTGATCGGAGGTGGTGGTGTTGGGAGGCCGTAGAGCCGATGGGAAAGACATTCATTTTTTTTTGAGTGTTTACAATTTCTTTTTTTTCAAAAATTATTATATATATTTTATTAATTTTTTGTTATTTTTTTTATGATTTTTATAAATTTTTTACGATTTTATTATGAATTAAAACATTTTATTATGAATTAATACTTTTAGGGGTATTTAGAATAGAAAAATAATGTTTAGTCATGTTTGTGAATGATTTAGGCTTTAATACTTGTATACTCGGGAAACAAGTGTGGACGTAATTAACAATCCATATAATTACAGTCCATAGTAAGAAAACATATAGGAAGTACATGCACAAAAAGCTCTACCATTATTTTACACTGAAAATACATTTATTGTGCTGCCTAAAAAGAAGTAAAAGTAATTAAAGAAGTTCATGAAAATGGTGATTTCGTCGTTTATTGATGATTACTTTTTTGTCTTTCATTCGAATAAGACATCGCAAAATTTAGTGCAATATAACGTGAGTCAGTGCATGGTTCATTTCATGCTATTATTGATTTCGTTTTTATACAAAGGGATTTTAATTGAAATTTAAAGGGGCTGTAATTCATCTTTAAATAGTATTGAAGCTGTGGACTGAGGTGTTGTGATCCAATTGTTTTTATTACAAGAAATCTATTTGTTTTTATAGAAATATTCAACTATGTTGTCTATGTATAGATTTATTGTAAATTAACATTAAAAATAATAATTTTGTAAGCACATTTGCTCGCAAAAAAAAAAAATATACAAATATTTCAACTGAACAAATTGTAAAAAAACATTTTTAACAAAAAGTTAACTCATTATCTAGATTCGTGTGTACAGTATTTATTTATCTGAAATTTGAATTAATTAATTAATGTTAAAAGAGTCCACCTTAAAAGAGCCCACTTCACTATTTAAAAGTCCAAAATTACTTTTTTCCTGGAATTATTAAATTTAATGTTATATTAAATCCGTTAGCCAATTGATGAATGACACATTAGCCTCGATTTTACTATATAAAACTATATATTACCTCTGATAATTAAACCAATAGTAATATAATGGATATTATAAAAAAAAAATCACATTCCCAAAATATGACACAAATATTACAAAGTAACTTTTTGACATCATATAACCTATCAAAATAAGATATTTGATTATTTGTTGGGATTCATAAATGAAACAATGGTTTTCCTGAGGCCATTAATTGTACACGGATTAATTGAAGCTTACTATGGTACCTTGTATATGGTTTCACTAATTTGGTCATTTTCCAAAATGTAAATGACATATGTTATTCATCAACCAAGAATAGAGTTGGGTTATCAACCATTCTTTGGTCTATTTGACAACTATTAACCTTTTGACATACCAATCGGCTAATAAAGTGTTTGATTAAACGACTTTTACATTTGACTTTTTATCCCATTAATCAAAATATGAAACGACATCAAACGTAGTGTCCACGTTAAACTTTTACACATATTTCTATACTATCCACATCTACTTTTTCGTGTATGCCTATTCATCTAACAGAAACCAACCTTCCTCCGAGAAAAAACCTTCCGCCCAAGAGAAACAATATTCGCTTCAGGTCTACTGCTTCACCAGCCAATTTTCGCCTCTGCTTTTCAACTTATCAACCAACTTTTTTACCAAACACGTAACTTTTAATAATCAAAATAAGTAAGATTAGAATTGGTTTTCTGGTTGAATTGACCATTTAAATTATTTTTCATATATTTTTTCTTTATTTTATTAATAGAATATATTTTAAATCTCCGTATAATTTTTCATAGTTAGCAGGATGAGAATTTCATAAATTTCAACAAATCAACTGATTCAACCAATTTTAGTGTTACACTTCCTAATTTTAGTCATTTCTTAAACCATTCACCTAGATGCACTCACATTTTTTTCACATTTATATGAATATGACTATATATAAACCTTATGTAATACAAGTACTATCGTACTTTGTACTCCGTATATAATATATAATTGAAATACTATAATAATACTATAATAGGGAGGATCAGTTTAACTTTTTAAAGTCATGTGCTTGATCAATGACCTTGACTAGGGATGGACCAGGACCGGGACCGGGCCGAGACTGGGCGAGACCAGCACTAAAAATTTCAGACCCGATACTGGCTCGGGTTTGTACCGGGACCGAGCCGGGCCTAAACAGTATCGGGACCGGGACCGGGTCAGACCGACCCGTCCCAGTCCATCCCTAACCTTGACCATGAATGAGTAAATGAACATAACGTGACTAGCAATTTCCATACTTTATAGGGAAAATTCCCGAAATAGGACTAAAACAGTTTGAAAATTCCGAAATAAGACTGTCATGTTTTTTATTCTCAAAATAGAATTAATTACTACAATGTTTAGAAATTACTACCATATTTGAAGGCAGGTACCGCCAAAACACGCCAAAACATGACAGTAATTAGCCTATTTTGGAAATAAAAACATAGTAATCCTATTTTGGAATTTTCAAACTATTTTAGTCCTATTTCGGGTAATATTCTCTACTTTATATGGCGGTAGTTTTTCCGACAGAACATACTCTACTATCTGTAAGCATATCATGTGTTGTAGTTCAAAATGCGTCTAATGCCAATCCATACTCGTAAATCGTAATACATCAATGTGCTAAATTAAATATTCTATATTATTCCTGTATAAAACATTCGGTGCAATACTACCACATAATCTTAATGATTAGGTATATGAAATAAATTACTATGTTTATTTAAAAAACACCACCATTCACCAACATCTTAAACCACAATAGTAAATGCAAGGCAGTCAAACAATAAGTTCATAGAAAAACATTCTAGATTTTACGATTTAAAAGTGCACCAATTGCTTAGTCCCAGGCTCCCAGCCCAGCCTAACGGCTCTTTTGGCCCAAAACAAAAAAAAAAATGACCGTTGTGACCCAGACCCGGGCTCGACCCGGCCGGACCGGGTCACATTTTGCCGGAACCGAGACCGCCACCCGCTGCCCCCCGGTTCGGGTCTACACCCGGTCCCGGACCGCCAAACCGGGCCATTTCCGAGCCCTCACAATAGCGGACCGGGTGGCCCGAACCGAATCAACCCCTAGATTCACCCATCTACTCCCTCCGTTCCTAAAAATTCTTCCCGATTTGACTTGGCACGCTTATTAAGAAAGTGGAATAAAGTGAAAATGTATGGTTGTGGTTGTGTAAGAAAAAGGTAAAATGAATGTGAGCCACACAAATTGTCCAAAATGGGAAAGTGAGAAGTATTTTTGGGAACAACCCAAAAAGGAAAGTGGGAAGTATTTTTGGGAACGGAGGGAGTATGATTTAAGCTCAATTTACATCTCTCAAATAACTATTCGACAGTAGTGTTGGACTCGGGTCAGGCCACCCAGCCCGTGGACCGGACCGGCCCGCTACTATGCGGGACCGGGACCGGCCCAATTCTCAGGTCCAGGCCTAGGCCCGGGGGTAGGGCGGGTCCGGGCTCGGGTCTCACATTTGGCGAACCGACCCGGCCGAGTCGGGCCCAGGCCAAATTGATTTTTTTTTTCATTTTTAGGGTTCCACCCGGGTTGGGCTTGATGGTTAGGATGGGTTTGGGGGGTTTGGGAGGGTGGGGGTGAGTGGGGGGGTTAGGAAAGCAAAAAAAAAAACGGAGGCCCAGCCTGGACTAGGGATGGACCGATTCCGGTTCGGGTCCGGTTCGAACTTGGGCCCGGCCGAGCCTCGGTTCATGAAGGGGAGGCCCGGAACCGGCCCGGGTAACCCCCGGGTTCGAGCCGGGCCGGGCCTCGGTTCTATTTTTTTTTTTTTTGGCTTTTCCTAGTTAACCACCAACCCTCCTCCTCACCCCCAAACCAACCCTAACCACCTCAAATGGCCCAAAATACCCAGCCCAACCCAAAAACTTAAAAAAATTCGGAAAAAAAAAAAAATAGCCCGGCCCGAGCCCGAACCGGCCGGGGCGGTTCACCTTTTGAAGGGCCCGAGCCCGAACCGCCATCCCACCGGGCTGGGTGGCCCAAACCGGGCAACCAACCGGCTCACCGGGCCGGTCCGGGCCCGCACAGTAGCGGGCCGGTCCGGTTCAGGGTCGGTTGGCCCGGCCCGGACCGGACCTGGTGGCTACCCGTGCCGGTCCCGGGTCCACCATTCCTGAACCGCCGGCCCGCCCGAGCCTAGGCCCGACCCAGACCCGGCCAGGTCCACCCCTATCCGACAGGCCTTCGATGACCCTTAGAGATGGGTGTCATACTTTTTTCAGATGACATTGACCTTCTCGTGGAACAATGGTTTAAATTATGTTCAGTTACACTTTTGAACATCTTATTATAAACTGGATCAAATGAACCTTTAAAATTCTCAAACAACAAAAAACACGCTTGGACCCATTTTGCCCGAATTTTCACCTGTGTTTGTAGGTGGGAAATGGGTTTTTTTCTCTTCCTTTTTTATATATTAATATATGATATTCATTCCGTGCTCAGGCACACAGCACACTACAGATCAAGTGCCTCTTAGTAGTATATATCTCATTAAGCTATTAAATATTTAAGTCAAGGGCGACCTCATATTATTATTTATTACTTATTAGATTAGGTGGAGTATTAGACAAAACCTACAACAGTGAGATTACAAGCAAAGATGGAATTATGTATTTATGGAAGGCAGATGTGATAAAAGCCCTAAACCCTCTTTACACTGCCATTGCCTTTAAAAAGAAGAATATAGCATGGCAAAGAACTAAACTAAGAAGGAAAAAAAACATTTACATGGGAATTATGCAGGCAGAGAGTAGAGACTCATGAATCTGGCGGCTCACATTTAACAGGTGGAGAAGATGAAGATCCGCAGCTTCCATTTTGCAGAAGAAGGCTATTTGCTACAAGAGAGTCGCTCACCAATCCAACATCCATGTTGTCAAAATTGAGTGCACCCCTAAACTTTCTGCTGCTGAAAAATTTCCATTTGGTTTAATCTTGGTAAACATATTTACAGAGGAAATTTATATTATATTGGATGTATCTATCAAGTAACAACGATATGCACCGCACCTGTTTAAATGGTTATTGATGGCTGTCAGGTCCTTTGAAGGGCTTTGGTAAGCATGAGTACTTTCACCTACACAAGCGTAATAGCTTTTAGAACTGTGTGATATTAGAGCATCCATCTGCAAACAAAGATCAGGAAACACAGTCAAGTGACATAGACGAGCAAAAGCATCAAAAATAAAAATCATGTTTTTCTTAGTTTCCACAGATTTTAGAGTGGAAATCACCTATAGGCAAGAATAGGATTTGAATTAGAATTTCCTGCTATGCGAAAACAGAATTGATAGATGAATTCAGAAAATAAATTATCAAGCAAATTGTACTCAGATTTAGGGACATGTCAATATGCTATGAAATAAAATAATAGAGAAACAACTAGGAGGGGAATCTCTACATTCAATTCATATAAACATAAGAACTGGTTCAACCAAGCAATTATCATATCTTATCTCACATTTTTCACGATAACATAGCGGTCAAGTGCCATGAAGACATGACGTAAGGCCTCTAAAAGATCAATATGCAATTTCTGAAAGTTACAAGCAAAATAATCTGACCTGTTTAATTGTTCGTTTTGCTACTTAAATACTCCCTCCGTCCCGCAAAATAGTTCCCAGTTCCGTTCCAAAAAATAATTCTCATTTCCCTTTTTGGAAAGATTTGTGTGGCTATCATTCATTTACCTTTTTCTTACTCAACCACAACCATATATTTCTACTTTATTCCCACTTTCTTAAACTCTGATCCAAATCCTTGTGGGAACTATTTTATGGGACGGGGGGAGTATTAATATGCAGCAAGGGGAGAAAGGTTTTGGCATGGAGATTTTCTACGGAAAGGATTTCTTAATGACAGAACTGATATTTTTAAATACTTCACCGTGCAATTATACAAGAAAACAGTAGCCCTACCTTTGAAGATCGGAGCGGGGAGACATAAACATTATGAGCAGCAGATACTTTCTTAGGAGACATATCAGGTAGACTTGGAAAAGGGGATGTCTTGGGTGATACAGGAGATTGACCTGGTTGGAACATATGATTATAATAGATACGGTAGGCCATATATCACAACAAAGAATTGCAAAGAATGAGAAGTGAAAAAAGGAAACGAATGTCCGAAAGACTGAGAGAAGTAACTCAAAGAAGATGACCTACCATTGTTACTATCCTTAGATCCTGCATTGTTGTTATTCTGTTGAGATGCTCCAGTAGGCCCAAGCTCAATCAGAAGCGGTTTAACAGCAGGAATAAAAACTCCATTGTAAAATGATACAATATCAACGCGTTCAGTACCAGTTTTCTGTTTAAAAATTATTTAAAATGATTACAAATTCCAAAATTGGTCTAAGAAAAAAGCGGATAGAGACACGAACCCCATTGCGCTGTGCTGACGCCAAATCAACAAAAACATTTTGAAAAACATGTGTTTTGCAATGTGGTTGCTTTCGGTAGTTGCATATTATTTCCTTGAAGGTTAGGTTAAGCTGGGAAATCTGCAGCAATGACACAAGAAGAGTATATATAAGTAAAGGAAATCAGAAAGCAGTAGCTTTTAAATTGTTAATTCCAACTTATAACTACCTTGCCAATACCATAGAAACAGCAAAGAATAATCTGGTCAATATGGCGGTTGAAGAACAGCATAGTCTGTTGAGTAAGAATTTTTTGGAAAAGATGATACACAGTCTCCCTTATTTGCTGGGAAAGCTGTAGACGTTCAACCATGCCACTAATTCTTACAGCAGCCAGCTTTGAAATCTGGGAGAAGACGTACAATTTATTTAAATAAGTTAATTGATCAACCAGTGAGGTAAATCAAGGCCAGTGTTTTTGAATTTCATACAGCTAGTATAGTTAAAAATCTGCACTACACATGCAAGAAACACATAGCAAGATAGCCAATGATTGAATGAAAAGTTTTCCATTCAAAAATCATTGAACGGAAAACTTTAAATGATTGATTATTAAATGATTGCCCCAAAATAGCAGCTCCCTATTTGAAGGGATTCCAATTGGAAATTAAAATGCAACGATGACTGGCCAAATATCAAAAGACCCCTAATTAACTTTACCAATCTAACAACACTTCGAAAGGAAAGAAAAAAAATTAAATCTGTCAGGGATAATTGGGAATTCAACAGTTAGCTTTGGTTTATCAGTTGATTGATTCAATCTCATAAGCAGAAACTAAAGAGTACTCTGGATATGTAATTCTGAAGGGGGCCTTCATTTCTTTTCCCAAACTATTGCACACAACTTTCAAACATATAAGTTAGATACAAAGTTAAGAATACACTGAGGAACCAAACACAAACGGAAAACAGCTCAAGAAGTAATGCCTAAAACTGAAAGACACAAACTCAAAACACAGTTGCTCTTGCAGCTTATGAAGTATCGGTTGTGTTTCTTTGAGGAGGTTGTACTGGACATCAATAAATTTAACTCAGAAGGCAATGCTCAAAACGCAATCATACAAGCAGACAAAGGAAAAGCTGTAGTGGATAGATGGGGGAACATATTGTTAAGTGAAAGTATCCTTGTCCTACTTGTTTTGTCCATTGTCCATAGAATATTAATGGATGCATGTATCGAAGTACCTTGCTAAAGAATACACCGAGAACTGTTTCTGCGCAAGTTTCTCCTCCACCACCAGGATTTGGTCTCGTAGGGCTGCAAAAAATATCAAAGTTCAACTTACTCAAGAAGATTCAATGACAGAGAAGGCTTTGTTCAATGGGTGATATTGATGATAGTACCTTGCAAATGCAGACTGCAAAGCAGGTAGGGGAGGTTTTCCTTTCAAATGATTGAGAGCCAAAAGTCGATCCTTTACAGGTGAGGTGAAGGGATTTCGCTCCACCAACAAGCTTCGATACTCAGTGCAGAGTCTTTTGGGTGACCTCATATCAATATTTTGACCTGACATACATCAATATGTAATATTTTAGAAATAAAGGCAAGTTGTGTAACCACCAGTATGTGCCAGACAAAGGAGGGTTTTTTAAAATAATCTCAAACATTCTTCATTCTCAAGTGAAAGATTAATGTATGTTTGAACATCCAAATTTAAAAACTCATCTGGAAGTAATTTCACTAAGGATGTAAGGGAATTAGAAATCACACTACTTCCAGTTTTATATACGCAATAGAAGTAAAGAGGCTTATATATAAATACCCCCGCCCAAAAAATCTTGCTTCAAGCACTTATTTGGCGCCAAAAAAATCAATTTGATCCAAAGGAGCTAATGTTTGCTTCAAGTTAAAACTTCATGCAAGTTGTCCATAACTCAACCCCAGATAGTCACAACCAAGTTACATACAATACATTTAGTTAAAAAAGTAAAAAAAAGTAAGAATGATTCATCATTTATTCAAAGTTTGATTAGCCACAATTTAAGAAAATGTAAATTGGTCAAAGATGTCCAAGAAAAGACAAGATTTTTAAAATAGTATGAAAGTTAGAAAATTGTAGTTAGACGTCAAATGCATACCTGGGCTGTTCTCCAGCTTCAGAAATGATGGCACTGGTGGTAAAATTGCGGAAGACATGTTTGCAATAGCATCCAGTGAAGGCATGGGATCAGCCAACAAACCAAGACGGTTAATTTCTGCAGAAAGGGCCGGCCTTGCTACAGTCAACGAGTTGTACATAGAAGATCCCTTCTCCCAAACCACGCTCTCCAAAAGTCGTTCCTCTAGAGAATTCAAGTGTCGTCTTAACTCTTGAGGAAGGCTGTCCTCGTGTCTAACGAAACTCTCTATGACCTTACTGAGGTCGAAAGCCATGATTCCCGTTCTCTCCAGAACAGCCGGAAACAGCACAGTTGCAGTGGTCTTATGGGTGGCGAGAACTAGCTCAGCCGAACAAGCAAGCATACATCTATGGAATCTCTCATTAGTCAGCAAAGAAGTCAAACTACCTCCCCTCAAAACTTGGGACTCTGCTACACACATAGCCTGCAGGACCTTGTAGTAAAGCTTGAGAGCTTCAGATCGACGTTGTTCAGCCCACTTATTGTCCATTAAGTTACTGCTTTGAAGGCTTGCGTTGCTTCGGGCTTCGGCTCCGACAGGCAAACACTCCTCAGCCGGAGTAGAACAAGGGCCGCTGGGAGAAGGGAAGATAGCTTCGAGTATGATCCGAGCCCTGCGAATCACATCACCCGTGACATCCCTATCGCATGAAGACAAGAACCTCTCCAGATCGGGCGATGGCTGCGATGGAAGCGGATCTATGACGGTGCGCAGCCACGTGGCGGTGGACATTGTAGCCGTGCTGCTGCTGCCCAATCGAGTAGGAGTGGATGTCATCTTTATATCTGATCTCAATTCCCCGCCGCTGCCGCCGCCGGAAAATAGCTTTCTTGCAAACCGGTCGATAATACAGCCAATCGAACTCTCACAGACCAGACCTCTTCAATCGAAAGAATGGGAATTCTGGAGAAAAGGTCTTGATTTGATTGTTCCTGCGAGAGAGAAGGCTAGGGTTTCCGTCAGCTGATTACCTCTGTTTCTATTTCTATCACTAAGACGGCCCAGGTGGGACCTAATTTTTCCCGCCACCTGATTTCTGTTATCAGCAAAATACGGAGTATGTGATATATATAAGCGCGGGAAAAGACGGTGTACCGTGTACGTCATCCCTACCGGGCTAAGGTAATGATGATTTATTTATTTATCCTATTTTCTCGAAGCTGCTAGTCGGGTCAGGCTGGCCCAATTCCACCAGTTAAGTGACCCATTTGCAGTGGTAGGGATCAGCGGTGGAAATGATAAAGTTTCACTCCAAATAATTTAGAGTCCGTTTGGTAATACTTAAATTGGTTGTATTGGTTTATTTTGTTAAAATTTATGAATTGATTGGATTGAATGATTCTGTTTATTTATTAAAAAATTACATTTAAAATATATTTTATTAATAATATGAAAAAAAAGTTATATTTCGTATGAAACAACTAAAATGATCATCTATAGTAGCTTCAGTCAATACAGTCAGAAAAGTAACTCTAATCTTACTTATTATCACACAATTGAGCGCACGGAATCAGTAGTTACGTGTTTGGTGAAAAAGTTGATTGATAAGTCTTATAAGCCGAAAAACAATATCGCTAAACGGGCTTTTAGATTTCTAATTTAGTGTTGTGGTGGATTAAATAGGGGTTAAAAGTGGGAAAGTGAATGGAGGGGGTTAAAAGTAGAGGGTGGGTTGATTGTCTGTTTTCTCGAAGCTGCTTAGTATATTTGATTAATCGTGTCCTATATATAATAAATCTATATAAATCGATAATTATGAAATAATAACTTGAAATAATTACATATACAACAACAACATCCAAGCCTTGGTCTCAAAAGACTTGAAATAATTACATATATATGACTAAAATAACAATGCTACACAAAAAGCGTTATGTCTTATATGCAGCAAGTCTGATGACTATGTTAGTGTTTTTAGTGACTATAATTATGTCAAACATTACACAGCAACGAGTTTGACTATGTTGTCCATGATGTTATACACATAGTAACCTTGGTTATATTTTTGGGAGATTTCCCAAAATATGAGTAAATGGAGTTTGAAAATCCAAAATAGGAGTACTGTGTTTTTATTCCCGAAATGAGACTAACATGATAGTATTTACTGTCATCTTGTAGTCGTGACTGCCAAATAGTTGTAGTATAGTGCGTTTAACATGACATTATTTATTATAATTAATGACAACATTTTTCAGACATGACGATATTTTTCATACATGACAATAACAACTCCTATTTCGGGAAGAAAAACATACTAGTCTTATTTTGGAATTATAAATCTCATTTGCTCCTATTTTGGGCAATTTCCCTATATTTTCAGTCATGAATTTTATTTAAGTGATATTTAGGAAAACATCTAGGATCATTTCTTAGATGCTTAAAATAAAATAAAATAAAAATACTTAAAATAAATAAGAAAGATCGGTGACACGTTGAATTTGATGCTTAAATTACACTAGCTTTCACTCTAATACAGGACTCTAAAAGTGTGGAAGGAAAGCAAAGAATATTCTACATTTTTTAAAAATGGAATAACCAGCACGCTAACAAGATTAAAATCCAAAAGCGATAGTCACAACTCAACCCTTTTAGAATAACTCCACTTACATTTTTCTACCCCATATATGCAATTTTTTTGATGAAATGACTCAAGAGGGAACCAAAGAAAAAATGCTTTATCAAGTTTGGAAGGGCAATAATGTAAGATAGTTGAGTTTTATGGCCGTTTGGAATAGTTTTTGCATAACTTTAGAGTGTTAGAAAAAGTTTAAGCACTACATCTTTATATCGCATTCAAGTTTTTCTTTGTGTAAGACCTTCAAAATATGTAATTCTATTATTTTTCTTTCTCTTACAGAGATTCTTGTTTGGAGGAAGATTGATTATTGGTTCGGATGTAAAGGGTTTGTTTCTATCCATATTGTTGATTGTAGGTCCTGCCACCGCATTTTGTGTACAAGTCAACTCCATTATTGCACATAAGATTGAAGAGCACCAAGATGCTGGTTATTGGTACCTTGTATTAATAATTGGAGTTGTTCTTACCGTTATGGTATGAACTCATCAATACACTTTTCATTTTTTTTACCCTTTTCATAATATATACTTAATATGTTAGATTGCCAGTACACTTACTAGTTTTTCTCGATGTCCACTCAACCATCCTTTGATATATACTCCATCTCTCGAACAAATCCCTCATCACTTACACACATTTATGCAAGATAGCTATTTACTTTAAACTTCAATTATATTCTAATTTATGTCAAATCAAACAAAAAAGAACTAGAATGTAAGGGAAGCTTTGAAGTTTTATTATTATTATTATTTTTACCTGGAGACACTCAAACATGAGAAATCTATAAGATTAAAGAACACCAAGATGCTATATTTAATGCATTGTATCAATAATATGAGTTGCTCTTACCATCCATGTTCATACTACATCTATTGGATTGTTAGTATAATTACATGCTATTTGGAATCCTCATTATGGTCAATCGGCCTACATAGTTTTACTTGATGCACACTCAATCATCCTTTGATATATACTTGCTCCATCCCCGCAAGCATATTTTTGATTTAAATTACACACATTTTTATGCAAGATGATATTTTACTTTGAATTTCTAAGTATATTCCAACTTAATGTCAAATCGAACATGAAACAACTAGAAAGCGAGGGAAATTGCATCATAATATTTATACGAAATTAAGAAATTAAGCTATTTTATCACCATTAAAGTTTTATGTCAGTCAATGATTAATTTAAACTATGTGTTAATGTAATATTTCAGTGTGCGATAAATATTCATAACACTCCTCATGTGTGGCTATATTATCCAAAAAATATTACATGGGCTACTTTGAACTTAATTTTAGTGTAAATTTGTAAATTATCCTAAGAAATATATAAAATGTGAAAACAATATACTAGCAATTAATCACAACTCAACTCCATAAGTTTCTAAATCTTTGATGCAGGCCCTTATATTTCTGTTCTTGACATCAAGCACTGAACCAGGAGTTATCCCAAGAAGATCAAAACCTACTGGATTTGACGAAGATCCTGATATCAGTACCCCTTTCACGGAGGGGCATGACAAAACTTCTAATAAAAATCTTCCCAAATGGAAAAATGTGATAGTAAATGGGCATACAATCATGGTGAAATATTGTGATACATGTCTTCTTTATCGTCCTCCTCGGGCTTCCCATTGTTCCATTTGCAATAATTGTGTGCAAAAATATGATCATCATTGTGAGTGGCTTGGTCAATGTATTGGATTGGTAAGTTTGTTTTATTTAAGAAATAATGATTAATATGTTACTAAAATAATATAGTGATCAAACATGTGATTTATAACGCGCAACTTCTTTATTAGTAGCTTTTAATGACTATTAGTATGCTCAACATACATAATAGCGACCATGATCACACACTCATAATTACTTTAATTTAGCCGAATTTATCCGCAAACTGTTACTTTAGTATTTTAGATGAAAACTCTTTTAGCTATCTGCTATATACTTATATCCACACACATTTACCAATTTTCACTCATTAGTTAGGGAAATTAATGTGCCAATTCATTTTATTACAAGAAATAAAAGCGATCATTTGTAAGCAATGTGTAATTGACATCACTAAGTCCCTTACTATCTAATTAGTTGAGTATGCATGGGACTTGCACAAGTTTTTTTACAAACTTTTATAATTATATCTTTGCAGTGAACATCCATAACAAAATAAATTGCGTGACATATGATATTTTGTGTTCTGATTGTAGCGTAACTTCCGGTTCTTTTACTTCTTCATATCAACATTGACAATATTGTCTGTGTACATCTTCATAATATCTTGGATCAAACTTCGTCAACATGGCGGGGGACTCGGGAAAGCTATTCAACAAGATATTGTATCAGATGTTCTTATTGTTTATTGTTCCATTGCTGGTTTGTGTGTGGGGTGCCTTACTACATTTCATTTTTCTATGATTTGTATAAATCAGGTAATCCATCATCCTATCGATCCTTATATTTGATGATGATGATAATAATAATAATAATAATAACAATAATAATAAAGCCTTATATTTCATTTAAAAGGTTGCTTTGAGAGTTAACCCCCACACATTTGATGATTCTAGAATAAATATAATTAATCATGATGTGCTATATAATGTTTATAATATATCTATACATTAAAAATGGTTTACTTTAAAAAGTACAGTGAAAAGTATTTTTTTTTTTGACAAAAAAAGGTTACTAGACAACATATGTTAACATGATTATTTTATACGAAGTATCATCTTAAAGTCTCAAACCTCATGGGAAATGTATGCGTATGTAGACAAATGTCACATAGTCTAGTTAAACACGAGGATGACATACACGACCAGATCAAACATACTAATCAATAATCATTATTATAAAACCAACACATTTGAGATATGATTACTCGTTTAATTATAAGATGTCATTGCATTATTAGTTTTAGTTTTTACCAACTTTTTCATATGTGTTCGAATAAAATTGATCATGACCATTATGAAAAATATTTAGATTAAATCATAAACAACATTTAAAACTATTTTTACAAAAGAAATTATACAAAAAAACATGTGAAACAAGATAGATTCACAAGCAAAAACACACACGCAGCAGGATCAATAAAATTAAAACGTGGTTATAAAGTATACATTCAACCATGACGTTATCACTTGGATTGATTTCAGTGACAAATTATACATGCTCTAACTTAAATGCATGAGTATATCAGACCAGACTTAGATGAAGCTCGCCACACAAGATCAGATATACTACATAGAAAACAGTAAATTTATATAATATTAGACCAAATTAAACTTAAACAGATCAGATTATAAAATTTCAATATAATTAAAAATGTGTTTAAATCATGAAAATTCAAACAATGCCACATTCCATTTGGTATTTTTTTTTATCAGTTCGTACCCCCCCCCCCCCCCCAACTTAAGGACCAAATCAATTGCGATAAGATCGTATCACCTTATTTGGACATTACCATATCCTCGAAATATTACCTAAAACCCTTCCGATTGAAAAAATATTAATTTCAAACTGTAAAGTTCTAACATATTCATTATTTCTTGAAACAGAACTCACAAATCTTATAAATTTCACTTAATTTTTTGTTAAATTAGAATGGATGTGATTATCCTTTTAGTTTTCTTTTATTATATCTTTACGTGCACATTTACAAAAACACTACTCCGTAGTATTTTATTGGGTATCCTCACTTCTTACATTGTCACCATTTTTATAAAAAAATCTATTTTTCAATTCTATATGCTACATTGGGATATATTTGACTGACCCCCTGGCTTGATCTAATCTGATCATGTTGAAGTATGATCAAGTTTGTTTAGCTTTGTTGAACTATAACTGGTGTGGCATGTGTGTGTAATTTATTACCATCCAAGGTTGACCTCGAATGTTTTAGTTTGTTCTGGTCTATTTAAGTCGAGTATATCTAATTTGGTACATGACTGGATTTAATATCATTTAATTATTTTCATTTACGTTTTCTCTTTATTAATAGAATACTTTTTGAATAAGTAAACTACAATTCACAACGTATTGATGATGCTTAAAGTTTCTTCTTCATAGACAACACATGAAAACTTGAGGCGACAACGTGGCAAGGAGGATAATCCATACAATAAAGGGATTCTGCACAATTTCAAAGAAGTTTTCTTCCACAACATCCCACCATCACTGGTTGATTTCCGATCAATAGTCCACGAAAAAGAAAATGCATTATCAATGAAGACCAACCCACCAAATCCCAAAGGGAGTATTAATATTTCCAACGAGAAAATTGAATAAAACTTATAGTCAAATAAATGAGCGACAAATGACAATAAATAGACGTGATTTCATGTAGAAAGGAAAGATGTATAAAAACGCATGATATATTGGTATAGCTAAATTATTATTATATGTAACAAAGGATGTGTGTAAGAAGCACGATATTAATATGAAAATATAATATATGTCAAGTAAATAAGAGTTTTACATCATGGTGGCATGTTTACTCATTATGATCACACCTTCATGTAGTGATTGTTAGATAATAATTTTGAAGTTCTAATGCTACTGCAGCTCTTAGACATTATATTATATTGAAAAAATATATGTTAAGATGTATTCCATACCATTGTGAACGGAGTGGGTCTTTATTATAATAAAATTGCAACTATTGATTAGCTAATAAGCTGGCTTTGAGAATACCTTGGTTGATTAATCTAACCATTCAAGTAGTGAATTTTAAAAACACCCTGAAGATAGTGGGTTAGCGCATTTGGACACATTAGTAACAGTACTTTTACTAATGGGGATCAACGTCACCCTTTGATTTGGGGCCTACTCTTTGATTCGGTCTAACCTACTGGCACCACAATGTAGTGCAACCCCTCATGTCCATCAATTGCTGTGTAGTGGGGCTCTGCACTGTCGAAGTCAATTGTGGGGATGCCCCACAAGAATTTACCTTGACTTAGTTACCATAGAGTAATATTTTAAATAGAGTGTGCTCACCTCTTTATCACAAATTGATTTTAAGAAGGATATTGCTACTATTTAACCATTGAACTATGTAGTTAAGCGAGCTTCAACACAAGAATCTAAGGATGAGTGACACACTTGAAAGCTTGTAGAAAAGAGGCCAATCGAAACTGTAAGAGCAATAATGAGTATGGCGCTTCTCTTTGATCCTCATGATACTCGATCCTTTTTATTTTTATAAATACAACTTAAAAGAAAAATCTCATAAACAATATTTATAAGTACGATCTAAAATATTCAAATAATCTAACATAACAGAGTCCTACTCCGTATGAGGTATACACTAATTAAAATGTAACACACATTTCAATTTCCATGTAGTACGTTGTGTTTCAGGCGATGGCTTGATTTTATTGTAAATAACTTAGAGAGCTACATAAAATTGTAAATGAACTCACAAAATAATACTTATGGTACATTGATTGGGAAGAGAAATATCTCAATGTGAGAAATATTAAATTGGCCATGTTATGAAAGGCATTTTTATCTCGTGAGATGTCAATTCATGACACTCTTAGTACGGCATGTCACAATATTTGCACAAATTTCATCACATAATCAAAGTCAGTGTTGTGATTTGAAGAAAAAATCCCACTTTTGGTCCCATAACTATTATACCACTTCCACATTTAGTCCCTTATTTTCAGATTGTTCACATTTAGTCCGTGACTATTATCCCCTCACCACCCCTCGTCCTTCCGGCCAAAATTCCGGTAAATTTAGCCCACTTTTTAGCATCAGAATCAGTCTTTGCATTAAATTTTATATAAGATTGGGTTTTTCATATCAGTCTTTGCATTAAATTTGGTTTTTCGTACCTAAAATCTGCATCAAATTTGCCGGAATTTTGGCCGGAAGGACGAGGGGTGGTGATGGGATAATGGTCACGGACTAAATGTGGACAATCTGAAAGTAAGGAACTAAATGTGGAAGTGGTATAATAGTCATAAGACCAAAAGTGGAATTTTTTCTAATTTGAAAGCTGGTATTGTTATGAGATGAGTTTAAATGCATGCCATTTACATCAAGATGGCGTAAGTGTATTTCTGTGTGTGGTTCGCTGTATAAGTGAGTTGGAATAGAAATGAAATACTAGTGGATCAATCAATGACCCTTCGTCTAATGGCAACATTGCGGTCCGCGACAATGTCCCTTCACACATTCACCGTCATTGCCACAAATTCACCATTGTCTTCACCGCACACTACCCTAATCTCATTGCAACCCTTTCCCCAAGCGTCTATCCACCCACTGCTCCATCTCTTTCCACAATTACACCCACTGACCCACACCTATACTACCCAACCACTCCTGTACAACTTCCGACCATTACCCTTTCTGCAACCACTACCATTGAGAAGAAGAAGAGGGGGGGGGGGGGGGGGGTGAGGCGAGGATGAGAGGGAGGAGGATAAGAAAGAAGAATAAAAAGAAAAAGTGACTTATAATTGTCTTCAGTGCTAGTGGATTTGTTGACGTTGTGGTTGTATTCAATGCAGAACTACACTTCATTAATGGTGAAGTATTGAGAACCGAGAAAGCACCATTTGACTAGCTTTGTAGATTGAATCTTCTCAGGTTGAGCTAAAGATTGTTGTCACTCGAAAAACCTAAGTATTTTCTATGCACGTATTCTGAACCAGCGGTGGTTGAATTCACTACATAATTGCAGACCGGTGTGTCAAGGTAGCGGTGCAGCGATGGATGAATAGGAGATTTAGGGGTTGTTTACTTTCGACTTAATGGAGTTGATGACAATGATGGCTTAATCATTCAGCCATTAAGTTATTTTTACTTACGACTTAATTGCATGCATGACTTAATGTTTCCCTCAAAAAACTAAATTCATCATTAAGCGGGAGAGTACGTATAATAGCAATCCTTCCCATTAAGACGTCTATTAAGACATTTTTTGTCATTTATTTTATCAAATTGATTCTAGATTTATGTTAATAGATGAAGTGATCCGTTGACATTATAACCTAAGAATAATACTAAATTGCTCATTTTACTCGATTCATATTGTTTATTCAGCATACAAATATCACTTAATTTATACACACATCTTAACCAAGCATATGTCTTAATTTAGACATGACTCAATAGAACAAGTAAACAACCCCTTAATGTTGCATGATGAACTTACATAGATGCAATCCTACATAGATTGCATTTTATATATATGTCGACTTTAATCAAACACGAAATAGTAAATATAGATATAAATATGTATGGATGTTCTGTTTTTTAAGTGGAAATCCGAAAGGGAGAAAATCACAAGATTTTTTTGGACTAATGTCCAAGACACTCTCATTTTATTAACACTATCCCCACATTTTACATAACAAAAGCTCTCATTAATGGAGTACTATGTATGCTATTCTAAAGAGAAGGGCCATCAGGGAAGAAAAGAGGATCCCCCACAATGGGAGGGAAGCCTCCTATTTATAGGGAAAGGAGGAGGGATGCAAAGCTACCCTAATGGGCCGAAATGGGCCGGATTGACGGAGATGGGCCGGATGGACCTAGATGGGCCTCATCGATCAGGCTTTGTACCGAGGTAATGCCTTGAAAATACAACCCTCGTACCGAATAGACCGAAATAATATACCCCAACAATATATTTTATTACTATGCATATCATACTCGGTTACTATTTTTCTCGAAAGTAAAAGTTAGTCCCATAGTTATCAATGAAAAATCTAAAAGTTATATTTATGTTATTTTTCTATCATATTGAGCAACTTTAAGCAAAATCCTTTTGATAGATGGTCTATACCGGGATATCGCTGAGGGGTATCTAGAGAGAAGTAAGAACAAGTAAGAGAGAGAATATGTATGTAATAAATGAACTCGGTGTGCTTAACAATGGAAAGAGTGGCGCTATTTATAGCAGCCATAAATGCTATATGTGTCTAACACGGTACACATGTCAACAAATCAATGGTGGAAGGTCACTTCAATCGGGGTAGCGCCAACATAGCACGTGGCACCGCATTTAATGCAGTTGTTGGTTGTGACACCGCATTTGATGCGGTGATTCAGAGCATGTAGAGAGGAGATCTTGTCGGGGGTAGAGCCTTCGACTGTATGTACTGAGGGCTGCTTGTGATGAAGGCTGTATGTGCCAAAGGCTGTATGTACCGAAGGTGGATGATTTTTGGCCGTGCTTCCCGGTCGTGCTTCTGGACCAGGCAGAATCGTTTCCCTAAGTATGAAGCCTTCGGGCATAGGGCCGAAGGCCACACCTTGTGTAATATGGGCTGTCCAGAGTTTTGGCTGCTGTATTTGGGCCACATGGACCTGTTGGGCCTGTTTGTAGTAGTTGAAGTATGTGGACTGGAGGTTCCTGTACCATATACTCCATCACCTTTATTTTTGTTTATATCCTTTTTGTGCATGCATTAACAAAATTTGGTCATTATTGCACCCATTTTGATAAAATAAAATAGATTTCGATAGGGAGAATTAGCCTAACATTGTGTGTTTATTGGGAGAATTGTGATTTAATTTCATAACTTTAGGCTATGCCCGTAAGCCTGTTATTAGTCATTCAGTCGTGTAACTTTACCCAGTTTCAAATTTGATTTTGTAACTAATAAATATTACTCCCTCCGTCCTTCTAATATTGAGACAGAAGGAAGTAATGTGATTTTTAAGAAAAATAGAATTATGTGGTTGATAATGAGTTGATAAATTAGAATAAAGTAAGAATGAATTAGAGCCACATAAATGTTACCAAATATGGTATGAGACAATAATAGAGGGACATCTAAAAACGAAAAAATGAGACAATTATAGGTACAAAGGGAATAGTAATTTAAGTATTTTTTCACCGGAAAATGTGCTTTTAGGTCGTAAATTCGCCGGAGAACATGTCGCCGGTGTCAAACTCTCTATCAAAAAGTATAATTTCTATTGAAAAATTTTTTAAATTGCAAATATTTATTAGTTACACGACCAAATCCGCAATCGAGTAGAATTACGGGACTAATAACAAAATCAAACGAAGTTATGGGACCAAATTGTAATTTCCGTGTGTCTACATAACTCACGAAAATAATTGCCCCGCGATCCCTGTTCTGTTGTTTTGTTGATTTTATCCCCACTCTTTTGCAGTGTTCCGCACTTCCGCTATCTTGAGTTGTAAGAAAACTCTCCGCCCTCGCCTGCGCTATATTTGCTTGTTCAGAGCTCAGAGCAGCCCTAAACAAGGAGAGCAGCACTAGTAGTAGAACATTAAGGAGGAGAAAAGATGAGCAGCATAGGCACCGGATACGATCTATCGGTCACGACGTTCTCGCCGGATGGAAGAGTTTTCCAGATCGAGTATGCCTCCAAGGCTGTTGATAACAGTGGCACTGTCATAGGCATCAAATGCAAGGATGGCATCGTATTGGTATGATCATAGACATATTGAATCTATGGTTTTATGCTCAGGGTTTTTGACGTGTTTAATAGGTTTTTGAGTGTTTGATTATAGGGCGTGGAGAAGCTGATTGCTTCGAAGATGATGCTACCTGGATCGAATCGGCGAATTCACTCTGTTCATCGCCATTCTGGCATGGTACTTCTTTATATCTCCTCCTGCAAATGCGTTAATTTTCTTTCTATGCAAGTGTATCCTCAATAAAGCATCCAAGGAGTTGAAATTACTATCTTTTCAGCACGTACAAGCTTCCTGGTGCTGAGTTAAAAACTATAGTTTTTCATTGTAAATGTTTCTATCTGTAACTGGTTTAGTACTTGGTGCCTTAGTCAGTGGCTGAGGTAGTCTAACTGCTCTAACTTGTAGATGTTCTCAAAAACTTTTGTTTAGGTAAGTTCAAATTTGATGCTCATAATTTTATTAGCGGAGCTTGTTTCACGTATGTTTAGGTTCATATGCCCTTATGTGTATTATGAATGAGGCTCTTTCATACTTCCTCCGTCCCTAAATAAACATTTCACTTTCCTTTTCGGTCCGTCCCTTAAAAATGTCCCCTTTCCTTAATTTGTAAACAAAACAGTGCCAAACAGTGCCATTTTCTTAAATTGTGTGTAGGTCAAAGGGGACCTTTTAAATAGGGACAGAAGGAGTATTAATTTCCTGTGGAGCTGGATTAAAAATCCATGTATCAAATAGTAGGTGTTATATCTTCACAATTCCCTATTTTTCAAACATTTACAGATGTAGTTAAGCTAAACAAATGCTGTTATGTTTCAAGCTGTTTTTCTACCAGTGAAATCTTTGGAATAAATATTTTATTTCATTAGGGGACTCGGTAATATTTTGAAATAATTTCTTATGCATGATCATTATCCAACTCCCCCTTTCCTGGTTTGATCTATAAAATATGTTTTGCTACTAGGAGCATAAAATCAAGCCAAAGAGGAAGGGATTTGACTGTTCCACAAAGTAAATTGATTTCCCCTACTGCCATTAGAGTGTCAATACTTTATATCAAACACATATATTTGTTAATTACAAACTCGTTTTCTCTTTTTCAGTGTGGATAGCTCAATTATAATCTTCTCATGTTTATACTGTTTACTTGTATTATTCTGAAACTGATTTAAAGTATCAGTAGTTTGGTCTTTGACTTTGCTACTAAGATCCTCATATACTCAATGTTTTTACTGCATACAGCAAACATATGCATTACTGATCTAGTTTTTCCTTAATTTATCAACAAATATCGTTGATTAAAATTTTGAACTATCACATTCAACCACAAGTAACAAAAGTATTCAGCTCATTGTCACTAATGACTTTCTCCATTGAACATTTTAATATGTTAGGCCTTATATCTGGGATGATGAAAGTATTTGTCTGCATTACGGTGATACTCTGTTAGACACATAGAGTTTGATTGTGGATATTTGCAGGCTTGTAGGTGGAACTGTTTTCCCTTATTGACAGCTCATGCTCTATGTTTTTACAGGCTGTTGCTGGGTTAGCTGCCGATGGGAGACAAATTGTTGCACGAGCAAAATCTGAAGCCACCAACTATGACAAGTATAGTCTCACTTAATCCTGTTTCTCATGTTTGTGTGGTACATACACACATCATTATGTATATAGGTTTTATTTCTGATACTTTCATTCTCAGACGTTGTTCTGTGAGCTGTTGCATGTATTAAAAGGTAGTTTTATGTACTCGTTCTCTGGTTATTCCAATTCTCTCCCGTTCTTCTCATATCTTGACTGTTAACTACATGGATTCTGAATAAGGTGTTAGAATGGATATCACCAAACCAAGTCTGCATTTCAACATACTGGGAAATTATTGAGAATCACAATTGTATATTTGTAGATTCATACTTGAGTTGTATGGAACCATAAAGAATCAGGTCTTGCTGTAATGAAATCAGAAGGAATCACATAAATTCAAGGAAACAATGATATTAATTCGGAGATTGGGTCAAATAACTCCAATTCCCATATCTATAAAATTATGGTTTTATGACTTTGTGTTATATTCTTGTTATTTACGTAGTTTATATCATGAATTGTTTTATGAACCTTTTTTTAGACATTATATGTATGGTTATAAACTATTGCTTTGGTTTTGAAGATCAGACTGGTCAGTTGAATATTAAATCATAAAATTTTATAAAAGCCAATCCGACCAGAAATATTATATTAACATATTTGATTATTTGTATGTACGTCCCAAAATTGTCTGCCAAATGAGGATCGCATGGTCAAATCCTTGGCTAAGTTCAACTTTGACAGTGTTTAGATTAGGAATATAGATATTCTTTTAGGACAAACTAACAACGAGAGTAAGACAAATAAAACACGACATGTCATAATTTTATTTTTAAATGTGCAAGGAAAGAACAATAAATTTGGGTTAGTTCCAAAGGTTACAGCTTCTTTGATTAGCCATAACTTTAAATATTATATGCGTGTATGCATCTGTGAACCCGTTAATCGCTAAGGTTCCCATTTTCATGTATTTTCCAATTGATTTGTATTTGCAGTGTCTATGGTGAACCCATTCCAGTGAAAGAACTTGCAGAACGTGTTGCTAGTTATGTACATCTGTGCACACTTTATTGGTGGCTCAGGTGTGCTAAAATTTTCCTGTTTATGTTGTCTATAAGAATCTCCTTTCCATTTACCATACAAATTGGGTGATGAAGTTTAGAGTAAAACTTGCTGCAGACCTTTTGGCTGTGGGGTGATTCTGGGAGGATATGACAGAGACGGTCCACAATTGTACATGGTCGAACCGTCTGGTGTATCTTATGTGAGTTGGTTTCTTCTCTTTGTTTTGCACCAGTTAGGTCATTTACATACTTGTAATTGACTTTATGGAGTTATAACTTATAAGGCAATGTCACAAATTTATTATTATTATTTTATTACAGAGGTATTTTGGAGCTGCCATTGGGAAAGGCAGGCAGGCTGCTAAGACGTAAGTAGTTGATATCTTTTTCATAAAATCTGACCCTCAGTGTCAGTCGTCCTAGATGCACATATTGTCCTTCCACTCATTGCTTTTACAGTTTTACTTGTCCTCATAGTTAAAATTTGTTTTTGATTACACTTTATATTGATTTAGATGCTTATGTATTATTAACTGAACTTGTCAGCGAAATTGAGAAATTGAAGCTCTCTGAAATGACATGTCGGCAAGGAGTTATTGAGGTAGCCAAAATGTGAGTGTCATCTCCTCATTTAAACTTCGATAGTACACAGCCTTTTGAATTTCATGTCAAAGCTGGATTTATACCTATACATGAATTTGATTGTTTTGTCAGTGAACACTGTCATCACCAACAGTAGAACACCTTAGTCCCTGATACATTAGGTTGATAACACAACTTATGGAAGTAATTAATTCTCCAAAATTACTTTATACCATAAATGCTTGCGAAAAATCACAGTAACATGGTTTTGTGCTGGGTTCCATTCTACCTTGTAACAAAGAAATGAATAATGAGGTGAAATTCCAAAGTTGCCCTCATTGTAGGTATTTCCCACTAAAAATAGAAAAAGCATTATCTGAAAATGATGAGTTCATATAGTAGCTATAGGCCATAGCCATGTGAAATTACACGATTAAAAGATGTGTACAAAAAAAGTGAGCATATTTTGCATATCATGTACATTTTTCTTTGGTTAGCAAGACAAATGAAAGAAATAATCAGAAAGAGGGTGGGTTTTGTGTATTGTTTGGTTCAGATAGAAATAATTGTGTTATTTTACTTATCTTTAAATGAAAAAATGCCACCCAACAAAAAATTAATATGAAGGATAAGAATAAAAATAATAAAGCACCTATTACTCCTTTTTTCTTGCGATAACAGGAAAGACCCAAAAGGATAGAGCGATAGGCCACACATATTCTCCTCATTGGTTTCCTTCCTTCCGCCCTCTTCTTTTTGCAATCCAAAAAAGCCAAATGCTCTCAAATTCTCCACTTTCACTCTATCTTTCATCAATGAGGTTCCAGAGAGGCAGAAAACTAAAGAGTAAGATATAATAAATCAGTTATCAAATACGGAGTATTAATTTAAGCACACTAGTGAATTCCTTGCTGGTTTGTCAAAATTCAGTCATAATTCTTAAGATGATGGTTTTAACTTTTAAGTATCCTTGAAAATTTGAAAGCTGTTTGTATTTTTTATTTAGTTAGCTCCATTGCCTCACAATTGAATCACATGTATTTTTTCTCTTGAATTGACCAAATCAAAGCACTCCAATGAGAGGAAGTGCACCTCTCAAACAAGTCAATGTTGCCACATTTCCACATGTATATCCTTTCAGTGTTGCATTTCATTTTATCTGTTGCTTCTGTTCATCCTCTTTGTCATTATCGATATATCTAGCTGTTAAATCTTGATTACACGTATGGAGCATTTGTGGAATCTTGTATATCTATGCTGTATGACTCTTTGGCTGAGCAGATTTTGTCAGTGCCTTGTAATGATATTTTAAACTTTTTCATGAACCTAAGTGGAGCGGCTTTGACATAGTATTTGGTTGATATACAGAATCTATGGTGTACACGATGAGGCCAAGGATAAGGCCTTTGAACTGGAAATGAGTTGGGTATGTGATGAGTCGAACCGCCAACATCAGAAGGTAAAGTCAAATCTTTGTTATGTTACGAGTATCCCCACCTTTTCGGTAGAAGTATGCTTCTTTTTCTTTCCAATGGAAAGAAAATTGATGCTTTACTTTTAGCAACGTTCAAAATTGTGCAATGCAATCGTGCCCTGAGGTGTGCCGTGCGCCTCACAGATATTTACTCCATTTGCGATAAGAGGCGTATCTCATTCTACATGAGGCGTATGTTTCTGAACCTCCTATCGGCAAAATAGGTTTAGACCTTGTAAGTATAAGATAGGTCCACTTTTATAATTTAGTCCAGTAAAGTCTAAATGTGGCTTAATTTAAAACCTTCGTAAGTCGTAACAAGCCTTTGCATAAACTCCTGCTTTCCTGCACATGCTCTTTTGCTTCAAGTTTTAAAATTTTAAGCCCTTCTCAATGAATCGTAAACTCTTATCTTCTATGGTAAAGTATGATTTTGATTTTTTTTAATCTTTGTCACTATGTATGAGAAAGATATGATGGAATAAAGCAAGATGGAATAAATGATTTTTTCCATCACTTGCAATGGAGCCAAAGATTCATTATTTTTTGGCTTGAGATTATGATGGAATAAAGCAAAATGGCTCACTAAACTGTCTGCGCTTCTTTGTAATGAAGCAGCAGTCAGTCCATGCAATTTTGGACGCGATTTTCACTATGGGTCATCCGGAAACAGCCTCTCTGTGCTTTAGTATAGGGGTAAGGCTGCGTACATCCGACCCCCCCTTACCCCACCGTAGGTGAGAGCCTTTGCGGCACTGGGGTAAATGAAAATGATGAAATGACTATGTATGAGAAACATATGAAAATATGAACTCAGTTGTTTATGATGGTTACATTCATATATTTGAAGGCCTAATTGTATGATTCTTAATATGATAACTTGTTTTGATTGTAACAAATGATTCTCCTCGCAAGAAAAAAGTCTTGTAACAAATGATGCTAACAGTAAGTTTTTACTTTGTGCTACTTCAGTTTTATATAATTTTCTACATTAATAATGATTTTTGATAAAAAGAAGCTCAACACAAGAGACTTTAAACCTTCCCGAGCTGATAAAAACAAAAGCAGTGCAAAAAGAAGCTTATTACTAGTGGTTCACACTATGAAAGTTGCACTCAATCTAATAATCTTAGAACTTTAATAGCTAGGAAATGTTTTCCATGTGTGAGGTTTGAACATACAACTTTGATGGCTTTATGACCTCATTTTTGTTGACTTCTTTATGAACTTTAAAAGTCTTACTGTTTGGAAATATATTTACGTGCACCATACTACAAAAACCCCTTGTATATGCCGTACAAAACTTCCTACATTGACTTTTAGTCACCAAGTTATGCACTTGGTACACTTTTAGTCATTTGATAACTGGTTTCTTCATTGTCACTATCCAGTTTTTTCTGAACTCACTTTAAGCCCCATTAAGTGACTGTAGTTTGGTGTAAGTGGGGGACTAAGAGTACCATTTTTTCGAAGACAGAAGGAACATATTGAACTATATATGCTTCATCTAATCAGTTGGAGGAAAAGTGCATTTCTATTGTAGCTGCTGCGCGATTTTGATTGAATGTTGTATTTGTCACGCTTTAGGTTCCAGAGGATCTCTCGGAGGAAGCTAAAGCAGCAGCCAAAGCTGCACTGGAAGAAATGGATGCTGATTAATTGGGTCGAGTTTTTGTAATTTGCTTCATCTTTCTAGCATCAGTTTCTTCATCAAAACTCCTCCAGCAATTGTGTTTTTTCACTACAACATTTTGCACTCGCGCGTTTTTATTCCCTGCTTCTCTAATTATTACCCCACATTATCGTTATTATCATATAATATATATTATATACATAGTATATATTATATGTATGTTGTTACCTCTAGTTTATGAGGCATTATGAGTATGTTCACATAACAAAAGAGATTTCTTTGGAAATTTTTTGCCAAGAGTATATATTTTATTGGGTTCAGACCTGATGGAGTTATATCACGGCTAATCGCTTCCTAGCTGGTCCAGATGACATCTGGTGGAGTGGTGGAGTAATTTCATTATTCTAGTTTTTGATCTAGCTCAAAATCAGGGTGAACTCAGTCCAGTTGTAGCCCTTAATCAGAGTTGGGATCGTGTCCCCCCCTAATAATGGGGTAGCCTTAGCCTTAATCAGAATGGCAATGAAGCTAGTAAATACTAGCCTTAAGGTCGATCAATTGCTAGTCATAGTCTAGTTTGGTTTAGTTTAGGGTGAACATTTTTTACCATCTCAGCCTTTCAGAGTTTCAGGTATGACTGTAGGATGAAATATGAATAAGATTGAGACCGAAACTGGCCGGTTGGTTCGATCTGATATAAAGGAATAATAGGAGCAAGTATCTTGCCATTCTTACTTGCTGGTTTAGGTTATTTTTGGAATCGGAGTACTTTTGAGGAAAATTTGATAGGCCCCGGTCAGAAACTGGAACTGTCTCGAGTCTTGAGTCTTGACATAGGGGGTGAAGCAATTTATTTTAGCAATATTCAATTTAGGACTCCCAAGTCTCAACCAATGTAAATTCCATGACTAATTGCTCATATTATCATTACTAGCAAATGTGGAACTTGTTTAGGAATCGGAGGGAGTATATATAACTAATTCCTTGTTTGGTAAACTACTTTTTTATCAGCTAGATTTTTATCAAATACTTAGGTTTTTAATACTTTGATCAATTTTATTTATTGAACAAGAAAAAAAAACATTATTTAAGAACATCTAGAAAATGAATAGTCGTACATAAATTTTAATATGGGGAGAAGTACTCCCCCCGTCTCGAAATAATTGTTCTACTTTGACCTTCACACAGATTAAGAAAATGAAGTTGTTTTCACACTGTAGCGACATTGTTTGACACTATAGCGACACTGTTTGGCACTGTAGCGACAATCCTGGCACTGTTTTGCATTGTTTGACATTGTTTTGTATATACTTGTATTTGTTTACCAAATAAGGAAAGTTTCATAGTAGGACAATTATTTCGGACGGACCGAAAATGAAAGGAGAACAATTATTTCCTGAGACACATGAGGAGTATTGTAGCTAGCTAGTTCACTGCACTTCAAGCATGGTCCCACTCTTGTATAGTTGTTCAACATTCGAACTTTGAAGTGTGATCAAAGTTTGAGAGTCAAGTCCAGCTCAACGTCCTTGCTTTCTTGATTCCTCCTATTGGAGTTGACTACTTTCACGTAGCCATGCATGGGAGACACATGAGACTTCATGGTGGACGTGCTGGCGACAACCATTGTTGCTGGCGGCAAACCCTGGGTACAAGTAAAATGCGGGTTTTGCATCCTTGGGAAAACGGGTCTCTTTTCGGTGGGTGGAAAAGGGACCGTATAGTGCCGGGGTGGAACCGTCGCCGGCAGTGGCGGCCGGCGTTTGGAGGAGGCGAGCTGGTGGCTGATGAGCAAGTCATGGTAAAAGCTTATCTGGCCGCCCGACCCGCCCGGAAATTGTGACTGGAGGGAACTCGGCAAGGTGGACACGGGAGAAAACGGGTCGCCGCCGAAGTTCCTGACATCCATGAACCTGCCGCCAACTTTTTTTGCGGTTTTCTCCACCGCTCTCTCCATCCGGTGGGCGTTTTGGTGGCCTCCTAACGCCTGCTTACTGTAAAATCTCTTTGTACAGTATTTGCAGCAATAGTCTAGCTCCTCCACCGCCGCCTCCGCCGTGTCTACGCCGTCTTGAACCTTTTCGTCTTCATTATTGTTCATCACCACCAGTCTGTTCAGATCAAACATGGTGGTTTTGCAAAAGTTGAGGAAAGGAAACTATGTTTAATACTGATATATAACTGATTAGTTAATAATATAGTTACATAATTGGTTTATCTATATATATATACAGGACATATATACTTGATTATAGAAAAAAGAAATGGGTGTGCTTAATTGTACCAAAATTAATTACATTGTTTCTTTATGCATGCATGGATGTTATCTCTATATATATAGTAAGTGTGTAGTAACCATTATGGCCTTTCCCCTTCAATCCCATGCATCTTTTAGAGAAAGTTTTTAATGTATGTTTCTTGTGCGATAATATAGATTTAAACTTACCCAACTCCATCTTAGGAGGAGAGATAATGGTCCGAAGTCCGAACTAGTGCTAACATTATGCCTATAAATTAAATTATTAACCATGATTGAGGTCCTTAAAATAGATAAAAATTCAAGTTGCTTTAGCTAATTAATTAATTCTTTCACTCCCTTTCATACTCATTCCATTGGTGATTCCCACGTATAAATAATTGATTTACTATTTATAAATATATATTACTACCTCCGTTCCGTTGAAAGGTTCTCATGACAAACAACACTGTTATTTAGACAATAATTAAATAAGGTAGTTGTGTTAATGAATTTTTATTTTTATAAAATAAAAATGGCTTAACTAGTAATTGTACGCATAAAATTAATTAACTTAATGTATCATACGTATATACAATACGTAGTAAGTAAAATAAGTAGTAAATATGATGTCCTCAAAAGTCATTTAATAAGTTATCAGCTAATTATAAACAACTATTTAACCAAATATTATTTTACAAACCGCTAAGACTATCTGCTGATTAAAATAGTCAACTGAATCTGCTGTCATCAATCAGCTAACAGAACCAGCCAACAACCAACAACCAACAAACAATTGCCAAACACCCCATAAAGAGACAAAAGAGTACATTAGTTATCAAAGAATTAATTACACTTTTTAGTTTTTTATATATAGTACTCCCTCCGTCTGTTTAAGAAATTCTAATATTTCTTTTTCGGTCCGTCCAACTAAGATTGTCTCATACCAATTTTAGTAAAGTTTGTGCGGTACTAAATCATTTTTATTTTATTTTTAATTATTCAATTCAATAGCAACCACATAAACTTAGTATTCTTAATAAGCGTACCACTTTTTCATTTCCTAATGTTAGTAGGAAGGAGATAATAATAGACATTATTTAGTTATGAAATTCGGGTGTACTTTATTACAAATTTTTACTGTTGAGAGACATTTGATTTTACATGGACGAACCTAGTCTATCAAAAAGATGTCAAATAACAAAAATTTTGAATCGTTTTTTACCCTAATAGGGGTTCTCTCCTCCTAGGCGATACCTTGGAGTTTTCCACCGCTTCTGATTGTGCCCTGATTGGATTGCTTACACCTTCTACCAAGAAAGGAATCCATGGCAGGTGAGAGTTCTTCATCAAATCAACCTGCGCTTGTGAACTCATGGAAGACGAACGTGAAATATGGAGTGAAAGTGGAGCCTATCGAAGAGCAGGGCCGGTTCTGAGAAAACACGGGTCCTGTGCAAAAATAAAATGTGGTCTTTTTCTAAAATAGGTAGAAACATAATATAAGTGAAATTTATACTCCCTCCGTCCCATTGGACTTTGTCATCTTTCTTTTTCGGTTGTCCCAAAAAACTTTGCCACTTTCCCATTAAAGTAACTATTTTGTGGTTCTACTCATTTCTCTCTTCTGCATAAACTTCAATCACATAATTTTTACTCTTCTTATTTCCCACATAACTTAAGGAATGCAAAGTCCATTGGGACGGAGGTAATATATGTAAAAATTTGCTACAATAATATTTTTTTTTTAATCAAAATACAAGTTTTTTTGGAAGTATCAAAATACAAGTTATTCACTAACATAATAGTTATTCACTACATATGGATGTGTGTGTAGCTGTTTTGGGCTTAAAATCTTATGAGTTATATCAATTATTGTATGATACAAAAACACAAATTGAAGGATTGTTAACATCAACCATTTAGTTCAGTTGGTTTGATGTCAACATGTGTGAGAAGGTTGTCAGGGTTCGAATCCTCTTGACATCAAATTTTTTTAATGAAGTAGTGGGATTTTACTCATTAGGCTCTAATTATTATATAATAATATAATAATAGGACTATTAAAATTTTGGGCCTTCAGAATTTCCGGTTGAACAGCTGGCACTTGGCCTGGGCCGGCCCTGTCGAAGAGATGCTGAAAGGGCTTGACTAAAGGGAGGATGAAGTGGAAGACGTAATACCTGAGGAAGATTTAGAGGAACTGGAAGCTGCGGCCAAGATGGTTGGCTCTTGCTAGGGTTCACACTTCCAAAACGTTTAGTCATAGTGCCTTCTTCGCAGCATACGTTCTGCATGGAATAGTGCAAAGAACGTGGAATTTCGAGCGGTGAAAGGAGACTTGTTCGTGATCAAATTTCACTGCTTGGCTGACTGGAAACGGGTAATGGAGAATGGTCCTTGGATCTTCAGAGGCTGTCCATTGTTGCTGGCACCCTATGATGGCTGGGCAGATGTTAAGTCGGTTGAACTTGAAACATTCCCCGCATGGGTGCAAGTGCATGACCTAAAGGAGAAGATCCGGACTGGAAGTATTGCCACTCAATTGGCCCGACGTGCAAGTACCGTTCTTAAGTTGGATACTGACTCAGTTCGGGGTAGGGGTGATGGTGTTCGTGTGAGGGTGCTCATTGATGTACAAAAACCCCTCACACGGGCAGCCAGTACAACATTAAACAAAAGGAAGATGTTCTTCAGGCTTATGTATGAAAAGATGCCTATGTTCTGTGGAGTGTGTGGACTGGTGAGACATGTCACTAAGGAACACGGTGATGGAGTGCACCCGTCAGAGGTGATAATCTATCCAGAGATATTGATAGCTCCGGAGTTCAGAAGGAGAGGTTTCTGGACGCCAGGAGGGGAAGAAGGAGGAGGGCGTAAGAAGGAGACTGGGAGAAGGGGTTCTGGCCTCTCTCAACATGGCCCGGAGGAATATGATGAGGATGAGGAAGACCTTAAGAAGAACCAGAGGGGATCAACCCCTTTGAGTAAGAGGCGTCTAACACTTGAGCAGTGTGATACAGAACTTGATGGGGAGGAAGGGCCTGGCAACACCCCGATTGTTAGACCTCCTGGCTCGGCCCTGAATGGAGAGGTTTTAGAGGCTGATGTCAACATGAAGGAGGGAGGGGAAGATGAGGAGAATGTAGATGATTTTATTGCTAGCAGGGACTTGAAGAGGCAGAAAATGGTGGAAAACATTCAACTAAACCAAAATGACTTGGCAACATCGGCGGGCTCCATTGAGGAGCTCCGCCGGGCCTAATGTATACTCTATGTTGGAACTACCGGGGACTTGGGCAAACCCGGACAGTTCAAGAGGTGGTCTGCCTTGTGCAGAAGCATAAGCCTAAGATCGTTTTTCTGTCCGAAACTAGACAGGAATGAGAGTACGTTCGAAGATTAAGATGGTGGATAAGGTTGAAACACTGTCTCACAGTTAAGGGAGATTGCAAAGGTGGAGGTTTGGGGCTTTTCTGGGATGAAAGCCTTGTGGTGGAGCTTCTCTCTTTCGGGAAGCATCATATTGATGTGCTTGTTCGGGAAGGACCCAATGGGGTCCAATGGCGGGGAACTTTTGTGTATGGCGAACCTAGGGTGCAGGATAGGCACCATATGTGGACTTTATTACATCGGATTAAGCCACACTCAAATGCCCCATGGCTGATAATAGGCGATTTTAATGAAGCAATGTGGCAAGGTGAACATTACTCACACACTAAGCGACAGGAGAACCAGATGATGGATTTCAGAGAGGTATTATCCCATTGTGACCTCTTTGACATTGGCTTTCTTGGGCTACCTTGGACTTATGATAATAAACAACGGGGTGGTCAAAATGTTAAAGTCCGGTTAGATAGGGGAGTGGCAAATCCGACATGGATGACCTTGTTTCCGAATGCGCAAGTCCAACACTTGGTTTCTCCAAGATCGGACCACTGCCCCTTACTTCTACAGGTGCAGCTGCCTCAACCAAGAAGGCCGGGGAGTAATGCCAGACGGTATGAGTTTTTTTTTGGGAAAGAGAGGAGGACCTATTCCAGGAGGTTAAGGAGACTTGGAAGCGCGCCTGACCGGTGGGAAGTCTGGGTGATTTTGCGGGTAACCTAAAATCTATGATGGGCTCGCTGCATGGTTGGGGTCGTAGGCATATCAGGAACGTTACTGAGGAATTGGAGAAACGAAGAGCTCGACTGGAAGTTCTTCTCACTGATCAGTCTGAACAAGCTGCAGAAGAGAGAATGATAATAGGACGGGAAATGGATGAACTTCTCTACAAGGAGGAGATGATGTGGTTCCAACGCTCTCGCATTGCGTGGATGCACGAAGGGGATCGGAATACCAAGTATTTTCATCGTAAAGGTGCATGGTGCTCCAAGAAGAATAGGATCCAGCGTCTTAGAGGCACAAATGGTGTTTGGTTGGACAAAAAGGAGGATATGGAGGATCTCGTGAACAAAGCTTTCATAAACCTATACACAAGGGACCTGGCTGTTGATCCAGAACCATTAATTCAAATTCTGGAACCCGTGATTTCGGATGGCATGAATGCACAATTATGCGAAGGTTTTACAGATAAAGAGATTAGTGATGCTCTGTTTCAAATTGGCCTATTAAAAGCTCCAGGGCCAGACGGTTTCTAAGCTCGCTTTTTCCAGAGGCATTGGGAGGTGCTTCGAGAAGATACAATCAAAGCAGTTCATATGTTTTTCACAGAAGGAATTATGGATAAGGGGATTAACGATACTGCTATTGTGTTAATCCCGAAAATCAATGATCCAGAAAATCAATAAACCTATCAGTCTTTGTAATGTGATTTATAAAGTCATTTCAAAGTGCCTTGTCAATCGACTGAGACCATTATTAGAGCATATCATCAGCCCTACTCAAAGTGCCTTTATCCCGGGGCGTTTGATCACAGATAACGCGTTAATTGCGTTTGAGTGTATCCATGCTATACAGAAGAGTGTAAGCGAACATGGAGATTTTTGTGCTTATAAGTTGGATGTTGTTGTTGTTGTTGTAAGTTGGACCTTGCTAAAGCATATGATCGGGTTGATTGAGGAGCCTTAGAGGCAATTTTGCATAAAGTGGGCTTTCATCAAAGGTGGATTAACTGGATTATGACGTGTGTTACCACAATGCGTTATTCTATTCGCCTCAACGGAGAGCAGCTCCAGGAATTTTCTCCGTCGCGTGGCCTCCATCAAGGAGATCCTCTCTCCCCGTATTTGTTTCTTTTTGTTGCTGATGGTCTCTCGCGTATATTAAATAAGGAAATTCAGAGAGGTAAACTAAAGTAGATGGTTATCTGCCGTGGAGCGCCGGGACTGTCACACTTACTATTTGCAGATGATAGTCTCCTATTTTTGAAGGCTACTCGAGACCAGGCGTCAATTGTGCAAGATGCTTTGACAAGGTATGAGAGGAGTACGGGCCAGCTCTTGAGTTTAAATAAATCTTCTGTTTTGTTTGGAAGATCCTGCAGTGCAGAGAACCAAGAGGTGGTGAAGAGCATCCTTGGTGTGGAAAAAGCGGGTTTCGAGGAGAAATACCCTGGGCTCCCTATGCCAAATGGAAGAATGAAAATGAGAGGTTCCAAACGCTTAAAGATAAATTTAACAAGCGGTTAAATAGTTGGGCGGAAAAATACCTTTCTGCAGGGGAGAAGGAGGTCTTAATCAAATCGATTATGCAAGCAATCCCCACATATTCTATGGGAATTTTCAAACTCTCAGCTGGCTTGTGTGAGGAGCTTATGCAACTGATTCTGAATTTCTGGTGGGGGGATGAGTTGAATGAAAGGAAGGTTCACTGGATTTCTTGGGAGAAACTTGCGGCTCCAAAAGGTTTCGGTGGAATGGGCTTTTGTGATTTAAAAGCCTTCAACCAAGCTCTATTGGCTAGGCAAGCATGGCGACTCCTGCAATTTCCTCAGAGTCTGTGTGCACGGGTGCTTAAGGCAAAGTATTTCCTTGGAGGCCAACTTCATGACACTGTTTTCTCAAGTGGAGGCTCACCATCATGGCAAGGCATTCTTCATGGCCTTGAGCTTCTAAAAAAGGAGTTATTTGGCGTATTGGATCCGGAGCTGCAGTGGATATTTGGCGGGACAATTGGATATCACGGGATAATGCTCTAAAAATTAAGGGGAAAAGGAGGTTCACTAGGTGTAGAAGAGTGAGTGACCTCATAATTCCGGGTGGGTGGGGGGGAGCTGGAACGAGAATCTCATTAAGGATATTTTTTGGCCTTGGGATGCAGAGGAAGTTTTAAAGATAAGACTGCCAGTAACTATAAAGGACTTTTTAGCATGACATTTTGACAAAGTTGGTATGTTTATTGTCAAGAGTGCATATCTTCTTGCTATATCAAGTAGACTCCAGTCTCAAAGCACGGGGGAAAGTAGCGGGTCCGGCAATGGGGAAAGGAGCATTTGGAAAATTTTGTGGGACATCAAAGTGCCCCAAAAGATACGAATCTTTGGATGGCGTTTAGCCCGTGAAGCTTTAGCAACACAATTAAATTGGTTACGGAGGAAACTTACGCCTAATGGTATTTGCTCAATTTGCGGGCACAACGAGGAAGATGGTTTCCACGCGTTTGTGGAATGCACAAAAGCTAAAGCTCTTCGGGACATTTTGAGAAGTTTCTGGCAGCTACCTCCGGAGAAGCATTTCAGGAGAACTGGCTCGGAATGGTTTCTAAATCTTTTGATTGGGGTTGATAAAGAGATGCGCTCAAGTATCCTGATGAGGTTCTGGCGAGCATGGTACTTGCGGAATGAGGTGATTCACGGTAAAGGCAAGGCTTCAGTAAGAGCAAGTGCAGTTTTTCTTTCTAGCTACCTGGACTCCTTTGGGCGGCTGCAGCAGAAACCCGACCCAGGCAAACAAGGGTGTGATAGTACAAATATTGGATTGTCATTTCTTGCTCACACGCCTACTGGTTGGAACCCTCCACCTCAAGGATGGGCAAAGCTAAATTCAGACGCGAGCTTTGATCCGGCAACGGGGGCAGCAACTGCGGGATGTATTATTCCCAACTGTAGGAGGTGAAGTTCTCTTATCTGTTTGGACGAAGCTCCCCAGGTGTACGGAAGCAACAGAGGCCGAAATTCCAGCTTGTGCTGAAGGAGTATGGGTCGCCAAGATTTGGATTAATATGCCGGTGATTATTGAAGGAGACTGTGCGATTATCTTTTCTAGCTTATCAAGGCCTTTGAGAGATGCTTCCAGGTTTGGTATGCTGCTGCAGGAGGTGAAGGAAATGGCTATGTCTTTCCCGGGGGTTCGTTTTAGCTTAGTGAAGAGGGAGAGGAACCGGGTTGCACATGAATTAGCTCAATTAGTCAAAATTTATTCGGATGAGGGGTTGTTACGCCTAGATGTGCCCCCTCGGATTGCTTCCTTTCTTAATACTGATTCTAATTCTGAGATCTTTTATCAATAATATCTCCCTTTTCATCGCAAAAAAAAGAGATGTCAAATAACAAATTGACAACCAGAATTGGTCATTGTGTACATGTCAGAGACTCAGATTGGTCAATTATTGAGATATCGGTAAGCACAATATACATCAATTTATATCATACGTCTACTTTTAGGTGACGAAAGTGTGTGTTTAAGTTATGAAAATTTATACACTTGAATATTCTTTACATAAATGTTTTTTAATGTCACACTATTTTTTACTTCTATGCTAAATTGAAGTATTAGTATAAATCTTCTTTTTTCAACATAGAAATAACTGTTATTAACGATTCCAGTTCTTCCAAAAAAAACGATTCCAGTAAATAATTCACAATATCAATCCAATTTTGTCAATTTTCCGTTTTACTTCTACGTCCAAATCAAAGTAAATTGATGCCTACTTAGAATGTTTTTACTTGGACTATAAATTGGTGATTCGGTCTGATCTGTTTAAGTGTGATCTGGTCTATTCTGGTCTGGTCTGAACTGGTCTAGTATGATTTGGTAAACGTCTGATCTCTGTGTATTTTATAACTACGGAAGTCAAGTCTGGCTTGATCTGATTTGTTTAAATCTAATCTAGTCTGATCTATTTAAGTAAAAAAATATTCACTCCGTTCCTTAAAGTTTTGCCAAGTTTGATCGACACGTGGATTAATAAAATTAAAAGTGTGTGGTTGAAAGTTGTGCAAAGAAGAGATGATTAACTAGAACCTAAAATTCTTTAATTAAAGAGGAAGGTGGCAAAGGCAAAGTTAGTGGAACAAAAAAAATGAAAAATTGGTAAAGTTTTAAGGGAGGGGAGAGTATTTATTTTAGTTCAGTAAATTGGGGAAAAGTCACATCCTTGAACAAATTCTACAAGGAATCTTGCTCGCGGAACAAAGGCCGTCTTTTTAGTTAACTGACGCATCGAGGAGAACAGCAATCTCCCGATCTGCCGCTAACGGAAATGCAGAACCGGTTGAATTACTCACTTTGCTTTGTCCTAGTTTGCTTCTTGGGCCTTTTTCAATTACGGGTTTCAGCACGAGGCCAGTTGTTTCAAATTAGGAACCCCAGATTTTCCTCTGAGAAACATTTTCTGGGAAGTTCTCGGGATTGTAAAGCGAACCCTAACGATGGAGAAATTGAAAGCCTTGGTCGATTCGCTGTGCTGGAGCACAACAAAATAGAGGTACATACTTTCTGCTTTCCTACTTGCTTCAATTATTATTATTACTCCAATACTCCCTATAATTGTTGCTGCTGTTAATATTATTGTATCTTTTGTCCATATAATTGTGATCCAAAGTTATTTTGTTATCAAGTAATAATTTCTTTTGCCATTGCATGTTTTTTGAAAATTATTACTTGTATGTTCTTACTGAATTCTTGGAAATGGACTGGAATTCTGTTTTCAGAATTTAATTAAATCTTCCCAATTTACTGCAGTATATGTGATGTTCTATACTCATAAGAGGTCAAATATTTAAATGCCACAGTCGTTATTCTATCCATATCTATTAACTTGTGTGCAGAATGCTCTTCTTGAGTTTGGAAGAGTCATTGATGCCAAAGAGCAGGTTGTGTCTGGAAAAATGTATCATCTTACTCTAGAGGCGATTGATGGTGGTCGGAAGAGGATGTATGAAGCTCAGGTTTGGGTGAAGCCATGGCTGAAGAACTTCAAACAATTGCAGGATTTCAAGTGTTCCTATGAGGTCCCTTCGCCGGGTTTTGCCATCAAACTAGGTAATCAATTGAAAAAATATTTTGTATACAGAGAACATGGGTAGGCCCCTTCACCGGGTTTTGCCATCAAACTAGGTAATCAATTGCAAAAATCACTTGTAGACAGAGAACATGGGTTTTAGTCATAGCTTATTCTTTTGCTTCTCTGTTCTTTTTTATATTTTTTGAGCTCTAAGCCTCCGTTTGGGGGTTCACACATATATTTAATAGCTCAAACAAATTGAGTGAGCTTTCACGAAGAAAATGATCACAATAAATAAAGAAAGAACACAAGACGAAAGTAAATGAGCATTAGAGGATCCTAGTAAAAATTAGCAAGCATAATTTATTTATTGTAAAAAATGCCTCCAGATGGAAAGAAACTTACTTCTATGCTCTTCTTTTATAAATTAAAACTGCTTTTGAGGCCAGGGAGTTGTTATCTATTATTTGGTAGTTATTAACTCATTATTCAAAGTTTGACCTGGCTGTATGTATACCAGACGGGTTTGTACTAGGGTGGCATAAATTGCCAACACATGATCCAGTGGTCAATCAAGCCGCAAGCTATGCTGTGCAGGCCATCACACAAAGATCTAACTCTTTGGTTCCATATGAACTTGTAGACATCCTTTTGGCCAAGAAGAAGGTAGGTTGAATTTTGCTTGAATTGCGATGCCACTACCCATTTCTACATTTATCTCCCTCGAGAAGTCATTGACACGGCCATTATTATGCACATGTTCATGGAATCCAGGAAATTGAGAATTACGTGAAGTTCGATCTGATCTTGAGTGTCAGGAATGGGGTCAAGAAAGAGAAGTTCAGGGTCATGGTGAGCAAGAACATTGAGGGAAAGTTTTACTTTGATTGTATGGAGCAAGACCACTCCTGAATATATATACTTTCCCCCTATAGGTATATATTGAATAATGGTTTGCTAGTTTTCTGTCATCTTGTACTATGTGTGTTACACACTTACACTAGTACCTATATACTAGTATCATTTTGTATGCACTAACTATGCAACAGTCATGTTGTACATATTGATCTGTGTGTGTATGATTTTTTATTAAAACAACGTACACGTTGTAAATGTGGGAAATTAATGAGATATATGAATATATCAAGCCGATGAGGGTGAACTCAAAAAGAAATTTAGGCCGTGTTTGTGTGCTTGTATTATGACTAGGGATGGACCGGTTCCGGTTCGGGCCCGGCCGGGCCTCGGTTCATGAAGGGGAGGCCCGGGTAACCCCCGGGTCGGGCCCGGCCCGGCCCGGCCCTCGGTTCTATTTTTTTTTTTTGTGGCTTTTCCTAGTTTACCCCCAACCCTCCCCCTCACCCCCAAACCAACCCTAACCACCTCAAATGGCCCAAAATACCCAGCACAACCCAAAAACTTAAAAAAAATTCAAAAAAAAAAAAAAAAAAAAATTGGCCCGGCCTGGGCCTGAACTGGCCGGGCCGGTTCACCTTTTGAAGGGCCCGAGCCCGAACCGCCATCCCACTGGGCCGGGTGACCCGAACCGGGCCCCGAACAGGTTCACGATGCACTCATATACCTCCACCATACACTGCTATATATGGACCTGTAGATTCAAAACATAACATAGTTAGAAGAAATCAGACATCATGAGCAACCTATCTAAATATAAGTTCTAATATTTTCTTCTTTGTCACAAGCCACGACTAAATTCTACGGAGGATGAATTAGTAAAGTACCATTACATCCATATTATCTCAACCTCCATTTTTTTTTATTTTTTTCATCGTTAATGCACTGAAACCGCTCTGCTATGTGCCTGAACATTAATTCATCTTCTTTTCCTCAAGTTTCTTAAATTTCAGCTTTACTTCATATAGCTTTGACAAATGGTACAAATAAAGAAACACAACTGAGATAGAAATATTCCCCAAAAGAATAAATACCATGTCAGGCAATAAACATCACCTAATAACCATAATTTAAAGGTAATGTATTTCTAATCTCTATAACCTTCTTGAGTTACTGAATTGTTAATATTTCATACCTTTACAAATGCATATTTAAAATTTTGAAAGTATATATTTTCTAACCATTGTTAAAGTGTGCTATAAGAAGATTATTAGCAAAGTACTTGATGTCTTTAACAAATTGAATATTGTTTTAGAAGATGTGTTATATCCAAGAGATTGAATTATCCGATGTCCTACCCAACTAAATTTTCTTTAAAGAACTACATCAACAATTTTTCCTATTAATTTTAACCTAACTACAACTGATCATTTTTAATCTCCATAAAACACATATAATTATAAAATATGTCTTAGAATAGAGATATCTATGATTTACAAAAAATCTACAGAGTATTAAACATTATACTCCCTCCGTCCCATATTTAACTCCGGTTTTGACCGGACACGGGTTTTAAGATAGTGAGATTTGTGTGGTGGAGAGTTATGCAGAGGAGAGAGAAATGTGTAAGAATGATTGTGAAACACATATTCTTTACCAAAAAGGGAAAAAGGAGATAAATTTGGGACGGACCGAAAAGGAAAGAATGAAGATAATTCCGAGACGGAGGGAGTAACACTTTACAGGATTGCATGTTACATATATATATTACATATGAATTGGATAAATGTTGTTATAGATACTATAGTAGTTAATAGAATAATAGTCTATATATACGGCGTAATTCATCATTGAGAACACATTTCCAAATTCTAATTAATTACTACAGTTAGTACCTCTCATTATATGTAAGCAGAGTGGTAAACGCGTGTCAGCGTAAACCCTCCGTTTAGAACCTTTGACCGAAAAAAGATTGTTCATGCATGACTATAAATTAAAATAAAAATAATGAGATTACCCAAGTAGATTATTTTGAATTCAAGACTCAAGCTTTAACCGTGCTCAAGCCGCCGTACAAAGAAACAGAAATTGAGATGCACCCAAGTGTAAATATGAATGGGATAGAAGATTGACATAAATTAGGGATATTGATTGAAAAAATACCGGAACTAAGCAATAAATAGGAGAAGGATTGGAGTTATACCGGAACTACAGAAGGTAGGAAGGCGACTATTGAGAAGCGCGGATTGGTGAACCGCCGAAGGGTAAGTGGTGGAATGCAGGCGACCAAGCGACGGGCGTGAGGCGAGTAGGCGACGAATGACGAGACGTGCCAAGTGCTGCCGTGCTGCGTGCTGGCGCTGGCCGGAGGGCGACGTCGCAAAGTGAGTCGGTACCTTAGCGGGGCATTCGACACTTCTGCCGTTCACGGATGACTGATACTAGATGTCGATTGGTTAATCAAGAGTTGTCTGCTTGACTCCCTGAGGTCGAAGTACTACGCTTTTGTTAATTATGGGCCTTTGTCCTGTTGGGCCTGACAAACTTTACAATAGGCTGATTTTGGGGCCCAAAGAGATTTAGTTTTTTGGGCCATGGCCCTTGCCATTACTACCCAGGACTAGGGGTGGACCTGGGCCCGGGCGAGCTTTTTTTTCCGGAATGTTGCGCCCGGAACTGGCCCGGGTTTATACCGGGTCCGGGCCAAACCGGGCTAGGCCGGGCCCGGTTCTATGTATTTTTGTTGGCTTTCTAATTAATCCCGACCCCCCCTCCCTCACCCACCGCCCAAAACCCCCCCAAAACACCCAACCCTACCTAAGGAAAAGAAAAAAAATTGAAAAAAAATTAAACCGGCCCCGACCCGAACCGCCCGGGCCGGTTCATGAAAATCAATGGCCCGGAACCGGCCCGCCAGAACCGCCCAAACCGGGCTAAAGCCCGGAACCGGCCATCCGAGCCCGATCCCGTCTGGGCCCGCACAGTAGTAAAGAATGAAGGTAGAGATGTAACACTGTCCCCAAGAATATTTACTTTTTAGTAAATCATGTAATAAACCTTGAATAATGAATTATGAATTTGCGAGGTTGCAAATTTTTGTTATTACTTTTGCGTGAATAATGAATTGCACGCGGGACCCACATCGGGAGCGGGGACCACCCGATAAACCCGGGACCACGTATTATATTCATCTTGGTCTAGATAATATTTATATGGTAGTGGATATTTTAATTGGGCCATAGAAAGGGCATAGGGTTGACCCGTTGGTCAAATGAGACCTAATTACCGGTATTAGTAAATTATCGGATAACAGCTCGAAACGAATTTCAGAGGCTTCTAATTTAAAGTTGGGGTATGTAGATTCATTCTAAAGACCCATAATGATGGAGGACACTTAATATATTTTATTTGACCCGATAAAATAAAATATAGTTAAAACAGTCCGAGAAATACAACTTTCGGGACCGATTGTACAGTTCTGGGCTTAATGAGATGACCTCCCACATGAGTGGGGGTCATCCCACGAAATTGTGTGCTCAATTTGACATGAGGAGGCTGGAGTTGACATAGGAAGATGTGGAGGAGGTGATTTTGGCATCTAAGTACATGGAGGACCCCCCTCCCATCACTTATTTGTCATTTGAGACAAATTAAGCCACTCTCTCTCACACCCTATCTCTTTGCTCGACCAAACACACTCAAGGCAAGGAAAGAAGCTCAGAAATTATTATCCCCCATATCCAAGGCAAGCTCAAGCAAACAAGGATCTCAAGGAAGAAGAAAAAGTTGCAAAAGTAGAGAAAAACCTTGAGAATAAAGGTGAGGAAACTCCTTAACAACTTTTCTTCCATATTTTGATTTTCATATGACTTATATACCATATGGAGTACCCCTAGGATTGTTCTACATTTTTAGATGTGTAGAACAAGGGGTTGGAAGGTAGTTCTAAGTCCAAGAACGGACTTAGAAGCTAAAGTGACCGATTCACCGGAAAATAACCTTTTAGATGTTATTGGTGTTGATATGGGTTTTGTGATGATAAAACTATGTTAGGAACTTGACTAAAGGGTTTCTAGAATTCGCCGGAGTTTCGCCGGAGTTCGCCGGAGTTCGCCGGAGCTCAACTAAGAAGGCTAGAACTTCTTAAAGCTCATTTGAGGTGAGTGGACGGCTTAATGTCTTGTAACTCTTGGGTTAAGCATGAGATTACCTAAGTAAATGTTATATGTGTTCATAATAATGTTTAAATGAGATTTAACATGTGATTAGTCAAAGTGATTAGGCTTGTATGAAATGAATTGTTGAGATATGCATGCATTATGATATGAAAACGTTTATAAAACCATATGTGACATGTTTAGAGATAAATGGTGCATACTATGGTTGTTTATAACTTAATACATGTTGTAATTAAGTTTGACATTTTATGGATTTGAATTTAGCGGGTCAACCGAGGGTTGACCGGTTGTCCAAGGGCAGCCGACGCCGGTCATGCATAGAACCGGCGACGGTTCGAGCGGGTTTAGCCCGGCTCATATTATTTGACTACGAACCGGCACCGGTCAGATTTGAACCGGCACCGGTTTGGCCTTACTTTGCCTATATGCAAATTTTAATGCATGAATTGCATGAATGATTTTGTTTAGGCCTTAAGGCTTGGTCTAGCCTTGTTTATTGATTATGATATAGGCCCTATCGAGTATGATATGTGGTAGATCATAGGACAGGTGGAGTACCCAAGGATCGAGCGATATCCTCAAAACTCGGTTATATAGGGTGGAGTACCCAAGGATCGGGCGGTATCCTCAAAACTCGGTTATATATGGTGGAGTACCCAAGGATCGGGCGGTATCCTCAAAACTCGGTTATATTGGGTGGAGTACCCAAGGATCAGACGTGTATCCTCAAAACTCATAATTTACCGTTTAGTAATTCAGGACCGGACGGTGTCCTTATTATTATTTGATTTGGACAGGAGGAGTCCTATACACTCATAGGTCTATGGGTGGGCTGGGGTTTTAAGTCAAGGACATTGACTACCGTTATTTTCCACAAATAAACAATGACCTACGGGTCGGGTATTTCCAAGTGTATATAAGTACTGATATGTATTTTGTAACTTGGGGTAAAGAAGAAATAGTATATGTATCACCCTATGTTTGGGTCTTATACTTGAAACGTTAGTTACTCTACATTTAGCTTGCTACTCGCTCGATACTTGTACTGACCCCTTCGGTGGGGGGGGGGGGGGACACCATTTCAGGTTGAAGCTAGAGCGCCTGTTGACTACACCTT